TCCCCCCAAATCCCAGCTGTTCCCTGATAAGTGAGAGAGTGCAAAAGAAAGGGCACCCTAAAATATCCATGATCCTCAACCAGCAAGGTTGGGAACATAAGATTATAGGATAGATATTTGTGAAGTACGTGTGGATTCATGGATGTTTGCTCATTATTTACCCAGCTCTGAGTACAAACTGCTTGGGACATGAATGATTTTTGGTTGGTTGATTGGGGTTTTTGGGTGTATATTGGGTTCGTGGGGGAGTCAGTGTTGTGAATGTCATTCTTGCAATGGTGGAAAAGCTTTAATGACGAGGGAGGCCTTGTAGCTTTGCCCAGCAATGGCCAGGCTCTAGATTTGTCCAGTCTCCTCTGGAAGTTCATTCCACAGCTAGCTCCCCTCCCCTGAGAACACTTTGTCCCCAGCTCTCACAAACCTCCCCATGGGCTTCGTGATGACAGGAAAGAGGTGCTTTCACTGCAAGCTAAGAACTGGCGCTATCTGTCCCAGAGAGATGAGTGTAAATCAGACCCCTCTGTATATAAAAATGGAGAGAAACTAGGGGAGGAAAAATTCTGGGACGGATAAGATTTTGCATCCATCATTGCCTGGTTGTTCATTGCTTCTGTTTGCCCATTTCATGCTGCTCTTACTTTGAGATTATGAGCCAAAACTGGCCCTGATGCAGGTAGGTGCATCCCCAGTGACTTCAGTGGAGTTTCCCCCAGTGATATCCCCCTGTTGCTTTGTCCAGTTAAACAGACATTTGTCAAGTAGTTTAGGCCTCAGATTCTACTTTTGCCAATGGCATGTGGCTGCGGGGTGTAAATTTGGCCCAGGATGGCAGGTGACTTGGCTCGCATCAGTATTGGTGATGCTCCTGCACGTGGCTTCTCCTAGCATAGCCACTTTCACACTCTGCTCTCGCTGGGCCAAAGCAGATGTGGCTTATGCAAGAGCTGTGCAGTACCACCCTCTGCTGCTCCTGGCATGGGGGAGAGTGTATCTCCTCACCTCAGCCGTGGAAGCCACACATCCAAACCAGTGTTTCCCCAAGTGCGGTCCCTGAGCCAGGAAGGGTCTAGAGAGAACTAGCTGGCCCCCGGGTTCTCTGCCACCTCATTTCCAGCTGCTCAACTGCACTTTCGAGAAATAGCCCGAATGGGCTGGCTTTCAGGACATGCGGTGAAAGCCATCAGTTTGACATGGCTTTTGGGGGGAGGCCTGAGAGCACAGGGTTATATTTGGCTGTATTTACTGGCTGGTGTGTTAACTTGTGTTGTGGTATAGAATCATAGAAATGTGGGGCTGGAAGGGGCCTTGAGAGCTCATCTAGTCCAGCCCCTGCACTGAGGCAGAATCAAGTAAACCTAGACCATCCCTGACAGCTGTTTGTCCGACCTGTTCTTAAAAACCTCCAGCGATGGGGATTCCACAACCTGCCTTGGGAGCCTGTTCCAGAGCTTAACTCCCCTTTAGAGTTAGACAGTTTTTCTGAATATCTCACCTAGATTTCCCTGTGTGTCTCCTATGTGGATTGTAAGGCCTGGGCTACACTCAAAACTTAGGTTGACCTAGCTACATCACTCAGCGGTGTCGAAAATCCCCATCGCTGAGTGCCAGGGCTATGCTGACCTAACGCCTGGTGCACATGGAGCCATTGCTCAGGGAGGTGGAGCGCCTACAAGGGTAGTGAAAGCCCTTCTTGTCACTGTAGCCTGTGTCTCCATTACAGGGTGACTATGGTGCCATGGCTATATGCCATCATAGTGCCTGTGGTGCGGACATGGCCTGACTTTACAATAGTTCTTGTCAGGAGGCCTAGAGTTCTGCCTAGGTGGGGTGTGTGCATTTAAATCAGAAGAAATAAAATAAATACAGTGAGAATTTCCCTAATGTTCCTCTTCCATGCTAGCAATTGCTGCAGTTGCTGGAGGGATTTTGTGTCCAGATCACAAATGGGAAGGGAGAGTCTGTCCACCAGACAAACTGCTTCAGTGAGGTCTGTGCGACGAAAATGTTTCAGAAGCCTAGATCTAAACTGTCCTATGCTGGAACCTCAAGCACAAAGCAGTGAGCTGGGGCCCCTTTGAAACTGACTAGGCTAGTTCCACTCTCCAAAAGACCCAGGGTATAACTAGTGAAAAGTCCGTGAGATTTTAAACATTCGTCCCTTGTGATTTCCAGCTCTTCTCTATTTACTTCCAAGCAACGGCACTTTATTGATTGCTGCCTTCTCTATAGGTGACGGGGCAATCGCTGCAATGTCAGAACTGGCAGATATAATGAATGGCTCTCCATTCTGCTTGATGACCCCCTCCTTTCATTAGCATGAAGGGCAGGTGGTGATCTGGGGTTAGGAATACTCTAATTTAAAAAAAATTCATAGAACAAAGTACCACTGTTCTTTAGCAATATTGTATGGTGCTTTGTCCCAAGCCCTTCCTGTTTTAACTCTTACCAATGTATCACACCAGTGTACAATGATTAGCTGTGCTCATGTAGTTACAACAGTCGAGATGGGCTGTAAAGGCATGGTAAGCATTGAGAGGGAGTTCTCTGAGGCCAGAGTGTTCTTTGGTGTTTCTCCTGCTCTGCGAGTTCTTTGCAGCACAAGCTCTGGTCCCAGTTCAATTCCATCCATTGTTTTCTAATGTAGCTCCCACTGAATTGAAATATACAAAGTGAAAGAGAAATTAACAATAGCCCTTTAAGGCAAGATTGTCAAAGGACGGTACAAATATTCATTAGCCATGACAAGCTCATTGGGAGCAGGTCTAGTATTTGTGGTGAGGAGGGCGTAAAACCAAAATAACTCCAGCTGACCAAAGCCAGAGCCATGCTTCCCAGTTTCCCTAGAGTTTCCCTGGAGTTTCCCTAGACTCCAAACAGAGATGAAAATGTGACCAGAAACACCACACAATGCTGGATGGGTCTGACTCCCGCAGCTCGCTCTGGGGCCCTGGATGGTTCACAGACAAAACCAAATTGAGACCATAGAGATGAGACTTGGTTTTCAGGTTGTTTTAGCTTTGGACAAATTTCCTCATTGGGTTCTGATTCTAAAAAGGGCTGAGAACCACCCAATCCCAGTGCAGAGAATCTGCCAGGCTTAGGCCCTTGTTTCATAAGCTGATGTGTTTCCAGTACAGGCTTAGAGGGAGTGGGTGTGGATTATGATTTACATGGGCAACAGCAAGTTTATTGAAGCAGCTCTCTGCCATATGTCAGAATGTTCTGCAAACACACTGATTGAGGGCACTGCTGAGTTGCTGTTAGAATCTGTATTCACGTAGATGTCTAATATTCCATGCTCCAGAGAGGTGATGTGCTGTGAGGTTAGAGACGCACAGTGTTACCGCACTGACTAAACACTCCTGCCTCTCTCCCTCTAATAGCAAACCGGCCAGGGAGGTTCACTGTGGAGAATGCAGCTAACAGAGGAGGTTTTGTTGCCTTTTTGAAGCCCTAGAGGGATTCATGAAGCCATCGTACACAGGTGGGAGTCGAATGCTCCCATCCACCCCACAGCACTTCGACCATGATGGTGCAGGATCCCTGTGTGCGATGGAATAGGAAGATAGTTAGTCATTGCACTAACCTGCAGCATGATCCTCTCTGAGTAATGGCTGTGGATGTGCACTGGACTGTGGGAGGGTGGGAAGATGAAATGGGGCAGAGACTCAATCCTCAGCTATTTGCAGCAGGGCTGAGCTATGGGAATTCCTCCCCATCACTGCACCTAAGTCCTTACCAATATTGGTTCATGGCTGTTTCTGGCTCCTAGCCCTGACTGTTTAGAGCCTGTATGTTTATGGCAACCTGAATAAAAGGATCCCAACGCACTTTATGAATGTTACACCGCCCCACAGCTCAGGAGGTGGAGAATGGGTATACAAGAGTCACTTGCCCCTTCCCAAAGGAGACAGTGTGCATGGAGACAGTGTAGGGTGGGCCCTCGGTAGAGTGCTTTCACTGAAGACCGTGAAGTCCCTCCCGATTCGCACCAGGGTGAGAGGACAATGTGTGTATGGTGCTGAGTTGGGCAAGAATCTCTTAAATATGTAAGTAAATAAAGATGATGTAATGGACACCGTAGTTAAGGCTGAGTTGAGTTTTGCATTGAAACTGGGATTCAACCTCTTCTTGGATATAGGATCGAACACAGCGTCTCCTCCCGCAGCCTATAGAGCTTCCTCTGGCAGCCTAGAATGAATCTTCTGACCATTTAAAGGAAATCTGTCAATACAGTTAGGAATTAAAATGAATAGAAATGAAGTCCTTCAAGAAACTCCGCATCCAGCCTCAGCCCCACCCAGTGGGCTGCTGGTCCACATGGGGTCCTTTGGGTGCTATCCCAATGTAAACCATAATAATTAGACCCTCCGCTACTCCCTGCATCTGCTCAGACCAACTGCCACAGCCAACAGCCATGGAACCTTTCCATCCCTTCCTCTTGTTAAAGGGACACCGCCAGCAACGAATGTTCCTGCTGTTTGAAGCAGTGTGACTGCGGGGGTGGGGGGAGCCAGTGGGGTGGCAGGAGAGGTACGCTGTAGCTGAGCGAGGAAAGGAAGGAGGTGACGCCCTGAACAAGCGGCAGACCGGCTTTGAGAACCACTGGTCTAGACCATCCCTGACAGGAGTTTGTCTGACCTGTTCTTAAAAACCTCCAATGGTGGAGATTCCATGACCTGCCTTGGGAGCCTGGTCCAGAGCTTAACGAGCCTTAGAGTTCGATGGTTTTTCCTAATATCTCACCTAAATCTCCCTTGCTGCAGATTAAGCCTATTACTCCTTGTCCTGCCTTCAGCTGGCCTGGAGAACAGGGCTCTAGAAGAGCCCGTCATGTATTAGAAGACCCTACAGTCTTTCATCTTGTCCCCAAGGAACTCCCGGTGCTGAGTTTGGGGCCGCAGGAGAATGGAGCCGTCTGTGTCAGTTCCCCTTTAAGGATTTTCTGCAGCCTGGCCCTTTAAGAGTGTGTCAGTTCCCTGTCTGACGTCACCCGCTGCTTCACTGTTTACAGCCTGGGCTTGTTGCATCCAGGAGGCTCACAAAGTCTCCAGCTGCCTGCAGCCCCTCACCTGTGAGGTGCAGTGGCAAGGCGGAGGCCTGTCTGCAGTGGGCTGGGGGAGAGGGCAGGAACGACGCTGCTATCTTGCTGCTCACTGGCTCCCATTCAGGGAGCTGGGAGTGTGTAGGGCAGCTCCCACCACTGCAGTGGGGCTGGCGGTGCTATGGGGCAGAGCGGCCCGGAGGTACCCTTGCTCTGGGAGGCCCTGTAGACTCTTCTCCTGGATGTGACCAGCCTGCAGCCTCCGTGGCAGAGCTGTTGATTCACAGCTGCTCCCACCCGCACCCTTTGGCCAGGTGCGGTGTGGAAGAGGAGGGGGGCAATGTTACCTGGGATTGCCCAACGTAGGGTCTAAAGGGTGCTGACCCCGGTGATGCTGGAAGCTCCTGCCGCTGCCTTAGCCCAGCCCCAGGAGACGCACTGCCTGCCTGTGGGATCAAGTCATGTTGGCCCTGGCCCTCGTCCTGCTGCTGCTGGCTCCGCCGGGAGCTGGTGCTTTCCTCGAGGCCCTGGCTGCCAAGAACATCTCCCAGAAGGAGGCCGAGTTTGACAAAAGCTACACGGACTTTGTGAACAGCGAGCTACTGAACATCTACACCTTCAACCACACCGTGATGAGGAACAGGGTGAGTGAGCGTCCCCCGAGTCAGGCCCAGCGCCAGCCCAGGGGACACAGTCCCTCTGCCAGAGCCATCGGCATGTGAACTGCTCCACGCACCTTTGGGCCATGCCCAGAACAACTGATGAGGTGCTGAGGGGATAATCCTTGCCTAGCACACAACGGGGGCCCGGCCTCATGCTCTGCTGGAGGGTGCTATGAAGTGTCTCTGAACAGTCCTTCGGCCTGACTCTCCACTGCCCTGCCCCAGCACCAAGCACGTGCAGGATGCTCTGTATGGATCAGGTTCTGTTTAGCCCTGCCTGCAGCGTGCACGGGAAGCAGGGCAGTGGAGAATCTGGCCCCCTGAGCCCTCGACAGCAGGTGGAAAATCCCAAACTTCTCCCCCGGTTGTGCTGTTAGTTCTCTGTTCCCACGGGGCTCGGGACAGCGAAGCAAGGCTGCTTACTTCCTGGCCCAGTTTCACTTCCTTCTTCCCTCCCTAGCTGACATGATGAGTTTAAACAACTCGGTAGTGTCCCCATCGCTTCCAGCTGAGATCACAGTGGCTTTGACCAGTGCCTGCTGTTGGCCTTGCATCTATCTTGTGGCTGTGATGTGTCTGGCATGTGTATTCATTTCGCCCTAGTAGGGTGTGTGTGTCTTGTGGGTATCTCTGTGTTCTACTGTGCAAGCCACAAATCAGCTTTAAAAGGAAGTTGCTTCGGCTGACTCTTTTTACTTTTTCTTTCCACAAACTCGGCTGAGCTGTTTGTTTAGAAGGGTGGGAGGCGACTGCCGCTTTTGGGTCTGTTGTTAAGCCAGGTTCCAGACTGAAGATTCACTTTTACCTCCATCCCTGAGCGTTGAGTCAGGCTGTGACTGGGAAGGCTGCTCTGGCCTGGCACGCCTGTGGCTGTGGGAGTTGGAAGGGCACTGCCGGTTCGCAGCTGATAAGTCCCAAAGGGAAGGGATGCAAAGGCTGTTTTCCCATTCCAGGGCCACATAGCCCAGGAAATACATACTCGGCTTCCCCAGCTGAAGAGTGGGCATTTTGCCCTGTCTGGGAAGGTTTGCACCCAGATGTCTCAGAGTTCGGCATGGCTGGATCTGGGGGTTCAGTTCAGGGCTGTCTGTAGTACCAGGCTGGATCTGGAGGAGAGACATCCTGTGGGAGAGTAATCCCTTCCCAGGGTGCATGGAGTGAGCTGCTCCCCCGCCAATCCTCCTCCCCCACCCCCCACATCTCTGCTTTGGCATGTCCTGTTCTCTGAGCTGCTCATCCCCGCCCTGCACTTTGAAGCTTCCCTCCCTCACTGCCCAAGCCTCGGTCCTAACTGCCCCCAGAGCTGAGTCCTAGCTCTGTGCCCCTGCGTCTGTAACAGCCTCTCCCCACAGTCAACATCTGCCAAGCACACCCTTCCCAAACCCCCGCCTGGCCTGTGAGGTCTCTGGGCACCAGCATTCAAGCCCTACTCCCCCATCCCATCCCAGCATGTGCAGTTGGACTGGCTGACTTGCAGCGTCTTGACCGTTCCTCTCTGCTGGGGAGAGTACGTGCAGGAGCTCTTCGCGGGCGTGGGCCAAGCTGAACTTCCCCTTCAGTCAGCAGGGTCCGGCGGTCACGAGTTCCATTCCCCATTGCATGCAGTGTCTGCCTGTAAACTGTTCGATGTGTGAGCAGGGCTAAGGCGGGATAGTTCTCTGCCCCAGGCTGGTCACGCAGCTCCCACGTCTGGAGAGTCACAGGGAACAAAGGGCCGAGTGTGAGCCCGCGCTGTCCTTGCGGGAGGGCTCTGTGCTCAGAGCTGTTGTGCCCTTTGCACCAGTGGCCACCACTTCCCCTGAGGTGGAGCTGAAAGAAATTTAACAGTCTGGGGCTCAATCCACAGTCCTCCAGCTGAGCCCAGGGACCTAGGGGAGGGCTTCGGTCTCTTTGGCCAAGGCCAGCATGTCCCTTCTCCTCTCCTCCCCAGACAGAGGGCGTCCGGGTGACGGTGAACGTGCTGTCTGAGCAGAAGGAGATGCCGCTTCTCTTCGTGGTGAGGCAGAAGGAGGCGGTGGTGTCGTTTCAGGTGCCGCTGATCCTCAGGGGCCTGTAAGTTCCATCCTTGTCAGAGACGACCTCCGAGGTGGGGCTAAAGACCCATGCCCCGCCTAGTTCTGGGGTCCCCCTGCCTCCAAAGGCATGGGAACTAGGCCAGCTCTCTGACCGTGACATGAAAATGGCCTTAAAACCCAAATGTGTGGACTCATCTGCCCCAGAACGTCCTGCTCCCTCAGCTGGCTGGGTGCAGAGCGGCTCTGGGACAGCTGCAAGTTCAGCCTCTGAGCCTTCTCCATAGTGACCTGGTCCAGCTACCGAGCGCCGACGAGAGGGGAGAGCTGCCCCTCTCCCTGGAACCCAGAGCAGCACCCTTAGCTCGGCCTGGGCCCCGGGGGGCTCTTTGGAAAGGGAGATGCTGCATAGCTGACCCCCCATGGCACCCTCCGTGCCGCTAGGAGAGCCTGCCTAGCTCAGGTGGGGACAGTGACCCAGCCAGCCGAGGGAACGACCCCCAGGAGGGCCCCAGGCGGAGGGTCCTGGAGCCAAGCCTGACGCTCCTGAGCAGCGCCCCATGCCGTAGGCGCTGGGCGGCCCCGGAAAGGCTGTGGGTGCTCTCCATGCTGGTGGGGACTGGTTCAACGCCGCATGCTGCCGCTGCCAGGCCAGAGGGGGGGTGCAGCGCAGCCTTTGCTGCCAGGCCCCCCTCTCATCCGGCCCGGGGGTCTCTGCCTTCGCCAGGTTCCAGAGGAAGTACCTGTACCAGAATGTGAGCCGCACGCTGTGCCAGCCCCAGACCAAGAGCGAGTCGGAGACACAGTTCTTCTATGTGGATGTGTCCACGCTGTCTGTGAGGAACGCCTCCTACCAGCTGCGGGTCACCCGCGTAGAGAACTTCGTGCTGAGGTGAGGGATGGAGATAGGAACCCCCCCCAGATACACACGCTGCCCTACATCTTGTGCCTCCTTCCCCCAGCTCCCGCCCATGAGCCTGCTGTGCAGGATGGCTGGGGAGCTCGCGTTCCCGGAGACCCATGCAGGCCAGCCAGGTCCCGGGCTGGGGCAGGCATCGCCTTGCCGGGCTCCCTGTCAAGCATTCAGGGAGGGTTGGAGACTCATCGAGCGGTTGCTCACGGCTCTACGAGCTGGGGATTTGCGGCTCCAGCCAGTGGCTGGCTCCAGCCGGGTGGGGTTTTCTTTGCCCCAGTGGGCTGGGGCAATGGGGGGCCCGTTTGCTCACACTTTATGAACCACGGTGCTGTTCTAACGCTCCCTCTGCACAGGACGAGCGAGCAGTTCAGCTTTAATGCCACAGCAGCCCAGCCGCAGGTAATGCCTCTCTCTGCTTGGGGGGCTGCTATGGGGGGGGGCAGTGTCACCATGGTGATAACGTGCCCTCTTCCCTCCCCCCCTCCCCCCCGGTAGTATTTTAAGTATGTGTTCCCGGAGGGTGTGGACTCGGTGATTGTGAAGGTGACCTCGCGCATGGCCTTCCCCTGCTCCGTCGTCTCCATCCAGGACATCCTGGTACGTGGGGCCTGGGGCTGGGTTCCTCTTTCCTGTGCTTCCCTCGCCCAGCGTCCCCCAGGGTGACCTCTGGGCAGGTCCAGACTCCATGTGGCTGAGTCTTTGCTTCCCCCTCTCCTCCCTGAAGTGCCCCGTCTACGACCTGGACAACAACGTGGCTTTCATCGGGATGTACCAGACCATGACCAAGAAGGCAGCCATCACGGTGCAGGTAGGGAGCCCTGCAAGCTCAGCCCCACCAAAGAGCTGCAGGTGCCAGGCCTCGCTGTGCTCTCTGCTGTGGCCCTCGCGACAGTTCGTGCCGGCTGGAGATGTTCCTGCCGGCGCGTGCTGAGCCAGGGGGCACTCAGCCTGGCAGCCTCGTTCCTCGCGTGCCAGACGGCGCTAGCCGGACAGCTCCCTGCAGGCAAGCTGTGGCCTCTGGGCTCATCCCCGTGTCTCCAGTGCTGCCTCCACGCTAATAGCACCATGTGCGTCAGCCGCGCAGACCAGCAGCTTCCTCCGCAACCAGCTCTGGCGTCTCTCTGGGTCGCTCGCGACGTGCCCGTCTCACCAGACTCTCATTGGGGGATCCTGGGCATCCAGGCCTCTCCGCTCCACCGGGGCCGGGTAGGGAGAGCTGCCCACTCACCACTCCCACTGACTCTCCTCTCTCGTTCCCGGCGGCCATGCCAGAAGAAGGATTTCCCCAGCAACAGCTTCTACGTCGTGGTGGTGGTGAAAACGGAAGATGAGGCCTGTGGAGGGTCCCTGCCTTACTACCCCCTCACCAAAGGTATGGGGGCGTGGAGGGGTCTGGGAAGGCACAGGGCTTAGCCACTCACCTATCCCTCTCCTCCACCCACCCCTACAGCCTTCTCCCCTCTGACATCTAGGCATGGGCTTTATCAGTCCCCTCCGCCCCAAGGCAGTGGCGATGGGATCTAGACCGTGCAAGCGGCCCTGGGGACCGTAATGCCCAGGTGGAAGCTGGTTCCCAGCCTGACCTGGGTGTGGTGACCCCTTTCCCTGCCTCTGTCACTGCCACTTCTCAGTAACAAGGCGCTGTGGGTGGAAAGGGTCCAACAGCCCCTGCTGGGCATACCCCCCTCTGGGCCGGGCGACACTGGGACTAGACCCAGGGTGTGGGCTTTCTACAGGGCCTGCTCCATCTGCTTTGAGAAGTTTTCCTGGAGACAGGAGGCAGCAGACCTAGGCTGGGCTAATCTCCAGCCTTCTGTTCCTTCCAGATGAACCGGTAGATCAAGGCAGTCGGCAGAAGGCGCTGGATGTGATGGTGTCACCTGCTATTACCTGTGAGCTGCTCCCACGGGCAGGGCTGGCAGGTTACTCTGCGGAAGCTAGGTCTGCAGCTGGGGGCGTTTCCTGCTGAACGCCGGTCACAATGCCCGTGTTCATGGGGCACCGTCCCTGCAGGGCTGCCCCCCGCCCCCGGGACAGCGCCCGGCATGGCTTGGGCACATGGGAATGGCTCTGACAAACGGCTCCACCCTGCTGGTGGTGCAGGCCCCGAGCACACGTGGCCTGGGACAGCACCTGGGCTCTGTGTCTGAAGTGGGCCTTTGCTGGGCCCAGGCATGGACAGACACACCTGCTCCTGGGTCTCCCTCGCTGTCTGAGTGTTACATGCTGGGCATGATCCTGGAGCAGGCCTGGCTCCAACACAGCAGCTAAAATGAGCAGAGGCCACCTCCCCCGGTACAGCCAGGGTCTGTGCCCCCACGTGGAGGGACACATGGTGTGGGCTGTGTCATGGTAGGCATGATGGGGGAGTTGTGGGCCCGGGGAGGCTGTGTGCCCAGCTGATTCCCCATGCCCGCAAGGCTGTGCTGTCCAGCGAGCTGCTGTCTGGGTGGGGCACCGTGGGCTGCTGCTGTCCCATAATCCCCCTTCCCGCTCCCTCTCCCCACAGCGGAGGTCTACGTCAGCGCCATGCTCTTCTGCCTGGGGATCTTCCTCTCCTTCTACCTGCTGACGCTGCTCATCGCCTGCTGGGAGACCTGGAGGTGAGTCCCTGGGCCTCGCTTCCCGCTCTGCCCACCCCACGGTGCTTCGGGACCGGACTGCCGGCTTGGCTCAGCTCACCCACCTCCTCCCTGGCTTCCCTCTCACTCACCCACCACAGCCAGGGTTGGCTCCGCAAAACTAGAGCAGGTTTCACCTCCCCCTCCCAGCCTGTGCAGCCACGGGGCCTGGCACGGTGACTCGTAGCTGCCGGTGCAGGCTAGCTATCGTCCATCAGGCTGGGAATTGAGAGCCAGGGCCTTGACGGCAGAAAAAGCAGCCAGGGATGAGACATCCCCCTCCCCTTCACCCCAGGGTAGGAGGCCTGTTTCCCTGTACAGCAAGGGCTGGGCATCCCCACCAACTCCAGTGTCCGTCCCAGAGACGCCCACCCCACCCCCACCCGACACTGGGAACATTGGAACATGGCGCGGCCGTGTCTCCAAAGGGCCACGGGGAAGGTCACCATTACTGGAGACGCACGCAGCCTTCCTCGCCCCCCAGCCTGCATGTGCCTCTGACATAGCTGTGTCTGCTGCGGTTCTCGGGCAGGGCTGGGTGAGCCCTTCATTTGGCTCCTGCACTCTGTGTGAGCAGCTCCCAGGAGACACGGTGGCAGATGGTGGTGCGCTCCAGCCAGGGACCACGCCGGGGCTGGATTTCCCTGGGCAAACCCTGACTAGGGTTAACACAGATCGGGAGGTGCCTGAGCTCTGCAGCCCTCGGCTGCCCGTCGGGACCTGGGTCTGCGGCAGGAGGGAGCTGCCTCCCGGCCCTTCTGTTTCAGGTTTTCCGTTGCGTTTTTGCAGACAACAGAAGAAGAGAAAAGGGCTCCTGGCTGCCATGGACACGCCCACCACGGACACTGGTATGGAACCCCCAGGGCCCGTAGGGGGCACTGACATGGGGCGAGACTCTGGGAGCTGGCCCCCTCATGTAGAGCCCGGGGGGCAGCAAAGATAATGTGCTGGAGGAGGGGGGCTGACTGTGTGGGCACAGTTCCCTTGGGGGGCGGAGTATGTACCAGAGCTGGCTGGGGATTTGTTCTTTATTTGTCTCCCTGTGAAATAACGTTTTCATGGACACACTGCTGCTGGGTTCTCTTCACAGAACAATCGTTCTGGGGTTTGGTGTTTGGCAAACAATGGATGGTGGAAATAGAACATTTCCCTTGAATGGAAACCCGCTCTCCATTGCCCCTGGCCAGCTCTGCCGCTCACCAACTGAACCCCTGGTTCCCTGGTCGCTGCCCTTCCACACAGCCTGGACTCCCCTGCGGGGAAAGGAGGGGCCGGGAGAGCTGGCTCCAGACCTGGGCTCGGGCTTTGCTCAACGGCCTGGTTCAGCCCCCGTGCCCTTTCTCTGTGCACAGATCTCCCTGCGTTGTGGGGAGACAGGTGAATGGGTCCTTAGAGTGCCAAATCTAAGCTCCGCGTCATCTGTGATCGGAGCGACTCTGGTTGAGTGACTGCTGCTGTCAGTGACTGTCTGTCCATCTGTCTCTCTCTCTCTCTCTCTCTGCCTGCACATCGCTCCTGGGGATCTTCCATTCCCAGCGTCTTTACTGGGTAAGCGTCAGCCTCCGTTATTTCACAGTCCGTGAACAGATCCCTTTGGTGCCCCTGACGCACTGGTCCTGAGCCACCCTCCAGCTGGAAGTGGGCGGGGCAGGGTGCTGCACTGGGGTCTTGCTCCGTAGGAAGCGCCAGCCACTAAAAAGAGGGACGCAGGGTGCTGTGCAAACGCCTCTCACCCAGCTCCGCTGATGCCCCACAATCCTGACGCGTCCCCTTCCTCCCCCAGCTACCCCCGTCCTTGGTCTCTCCTGACCAGAAACCGTCTGCGGCCCCAAGTGCTCCGCTGCCCTGCAGCTGTCCGGGCACAGCCTGAGCCTGCCACCCTCGCCCCACTGAGACCCCGCCCTGGCCCCTGAGCACACGTGCCCCCTGCTCTCCTCAGCCCCCTGGCTGCTGGGGGTGATGTGTGAAGACTGCTGCCTGCCTGACGCAGGGTGCTGTGGTGTCTTGCAGGGCATCCGCGCGTCACCCCGGACTCCCTCCTGGGTCACCCTCCCTACCACGGCTACAGCTATGGCTCTTTGGGTAAGCACCGGCGAGGAGCACTGCACTCTCCTGCTCACATGGGGCTCCGGGACCAGTCGGAGATGGGAGTGGGCTCTTGGGGGCCAGGTCGCCAGTCCCTTGGCAATGGTTGGACCCAATTCCTGACCCTGTGACCAGAGTCTCGTTCCTCTCCTCTCCCCCAGACGGTGACAAGCCAGGGTCTCCCCGCCCCACAACCACACACACACACAGCTGCTGTGTGAGCTCCTGGCACTTTGCCCTCTGCTCTCCAGGAACCCGTTCCTGGCTGGGTGTCTGACCACTTCAACTCGCCTCCTTGTTCTAACTCTCCTTCCAGAGAACAGTTCCACCCTAAGCACTGAGGGCATCACCGAGAGCATGGGCTCCACGGACATCTCCTCTGGGTACACAGGTAAGCCGCAAGAAACCAGCAACGACTGGCCAGCGAGACGGACCCTGCAATCCAGAGCTGGGTTTTGCACTGCAGAGTCCGCATCAGAGCAATCCCAGAGCCTGGGAGCCATCCCTGCTGCAAATTCTCCATGCACCGAGACCCTGTCTGAGGCCTGCTGTCTGGACTCATCAAGCCTGGGGGTGTGCATCTGCCCCCGTACCTGGGGGCCTGAGTGTGAAAGGCTCTCTGGGGAGAGGACTTTGCCCCAGGAGCTGTGGCTGCTCCAGGCTCTCGTCCTCATTCAGACCTCCCCCCATCCTCGCCAACTCTGCTCCACTTTGAAAGACCAATGTACTGGGCAGGCCTTTAACCGGGTTGTTGCTGTCTGGCCTGGGCAGCAGACGAGGACTGAAACTGCCTGGCTGGCTCCTTGGGACCCCGCTCGGCGCTCAGAAGGAGGCTCTGTCCCCATCAGCCCTCCCAGTAATTCTCGCTTTCCTTTCAAGGGCTGGACCACTTCAAGCGACGTGTCCCCTCCAGTCAGATGAGGCACCTGTGCATTACTATGGGTAGATGTGGATGTTAAGCAGAAAAGGCACTAGGAGAACTTGAATCAATCCAATGTATTGGGGTGCCCTCGGCTTCACATTACCTGGGGACAGACCCTGCATTCGACTCGCAGCTTCACTCCCTTCTCTCGTCCCTTGATCCAGGGACAGCCACTGAACAGTCCCTCCAGCCCCGAGCGGTCCCATAATGCTCCCATCTTCCAATGCGTGGTCACGCTGGGAGCAGCCATCTCCCTGGGCCCCACAACTCTGCCTGCTTGTCAGCCTCTGAGCAGGAGAGCGAGAATGGAGTGGCAGGGGTCAGGACTGAGGGGCACTGGCGATGCTGTGTGTGGGGTAGCGGGGGGCCCAGGGCTGGGGTGACAGGGGGGCTGCAGGTCAGGACTGAGGGGCACTGGCGATGCTGTGTGTGGGGTAGCGGGGGGCCCAGGGCTGGGGTGACAGGGGGGCTGCAGGTCAGGACTGAGGGGCACTGGCGATGCTGTGTGTAAGAGACATGCTGGCTGGTTCTCCCTAGTGCAGTGTCTCCCCCTACCCTTTCCCAACAGGCCCGGGCTCCCAGCTGGACTGTGAGGTTTGCAGAGCAGGGCATGGGAGGGGCAGACCCAGGACCAGCACAGGACATCAGTTGGGAGCCCTGGCTTGTCCTGCTGTATTTTCAGAGGGGGGGGGTGGAAAGGTCCAGGGGAAGCTCTGTCATCCTCCTCTCCTGGTCCCTCGTGGGGGCGGGGTGGGATGCACAAGCTCAGCAAACGGTAGATGATCTCCGCCAGTTGTGGTACAGGAGGGGAGGAGGTGAGGTGCCCGGACCAGACGGAGGCAAATCAGTCCCGTTTCAGCTGACTCAGAGTGCGGGGAGTGGTTGCCGATCTCTATACCCGTGTGACCCGAGAACGCCGCCCTAGCCCTGGCTCTGTGGGCCCCGTTCAGGGTCCTGGAAAGGGAGGGATGATCTCTGGACTGTTCACTGGCTGACCTCCCCCAACCCCGCAAAGAAACCCATCTGCCTGGGTCTGAGATGGTAACGTGAAGACCTGGATGACCCCTGCCCAGACTTGCCATGGCTGGGGGCTGCACTTTCTGAGGGACTGGGGGCGCTGGGGTTCTTTGTGGATTTAGAGGGAGCGGCCGTGGACCTTATTGCAGTGGGGCAGAGGCAGGATCGCCTGCAGAACGGCCCAGTTCATGCTGTGTGGGCAGCACCTTGCCCCCGCCTGCCAAGGCCGTGATGGCCAGGCCTGGAGCCCCAGGCTACACACCGAAAGAAGGAGCCGCCTTCCCAGAACGGCCACAGCTCCCTGACCTCATGCAGGGCTTGGTGTCCCTGCCCTCTGTCGGCTCCCCGGGGGGTGAGCTTCCCTGGCTTGTGTCACGCCAGGGGGCAGACGGGAGGGGCACAATGGCCCCATCTGCCCTTGGCCTCTCTCATCAGGCCCCCGAGGCTGGCAGCCTTTGGCCAGCAGCAGGGCACTCAGCTGCTAGCAGAGCGAGCCAGGGAGTGGCAGACATGCAGCAGCCTTATGTGGCTGTCAGGTGACTCACAGGCCAGACCAAAACAGAGCAACAACCGAACAGCCCCAGGAGCACAGTGTCTGTGCCGGTGAGCTGTGCACGACTGCCTGCCCTCCCCAGACCCACACGCAGCATTGGCCAGGGTGACGACTGTGTGCTGAGAGGTGCGTTAGGCAAGGGGCAGGCTTGTCTTACTCTAGTCTCTGCCCCCAACACCCTGGCCCTACGTGGCACTGGGCAGCATCCAACAAGTGCCAGCAGGGCTCTGTGCCAAAGGGGCCATGCTCTGCCAGCGCGTGACGTCTCCATGAGTTACTTAATGTTACAGCAGGATTCGGCAGAGCTTCCTAGCCAGGCCTGACCCACGCCCTGTGACTAAGGTTGCTCAGCAGCGGGTGTCGGCCCTGCATGCCGCCCCAAAACCAGCTCGGTGGCCTTGCCATGGCTGGGAGAGAAGGCTAGTTAGCAGCCCTGGAGGAGATGGGCGGCTGAGTTCTCAGCAGGCTGAGTTGGATGAGTTCACTGCCCCTGGCTAACTCAGTCTAGTCAGAGCCACCTCCTGCTTGCTGCGGGTGACGCCCACCCCCCAGCACGAGTCCTGCTCCAGGTCCTCTGGGCACTGATGCCCCAGTGAGCCCCTCCCTGGAGTGCGAGCCCTGTGTGACAGGGTGACTCGGTGTGTGAGCCTTGTGGAGCTGCCTGCCCTGACTCTGTTCTGCAGGGAGCTGCCTAACTCCTCCCAGTCCCTTTCTAATGGTGCATTTGGGGCTTTGTCTCTCTCGCGAGCCCCGAAAGACACAGTCTGTCCCCTCAGAAAGAGCACCGGGGGCATCAGCATGATGAACAAATTGCACAAGTCTTTGTATCATCAACATCCAGATCAGCCTAATCAGAACGGAACGACCCCGGGGGTGTAATTACCCCGACGGGCCGTAGGTAGCTCAGTCCACGGGGATCTCTGTCCCAGGGCCTGGCGGGTTGAACCTGGGCGCTGAAGAGCTGGGAATGTCTGCTGGATGCCATGGAGCCTCCTGCAGCGGTGGGGGCGGGGGTCTCTGTTGTGGGGTCTGTGCTGCCCCCACTCTGCCCTGTCGATCCCTTTGCACTGAGCTACGGACAGTGAACGGGGGGATGATCTCAGGGTGTGATTGAATGGCTCCGATTGACTCTGTGATACGAATGATTGGTTTGATCTCTTCGCCAGGGGTGTGGGGAAGGAGTGGGCTAGGCCTTGCCCAGGGTGTGTGGGCCTCAGCCCGGACTGATGCTGATGCTCCCCTGTGCCCTTGCAGAGCGCACCCTGGAGAAGGTGGCCAGCCGGCCCCGCCTGGACTCCCTCAGCTCCGTGGAGGAGGACGACTACGACACGCTGGCGGACATAGATTCCGACAAGAATGTCATCCGGACCAAGGTCCGTGTCACCTGCCCAGCCCGGGCGTCGCTCTGATGGGGGGGGGGAGCGTGATATGCAGCCCCCTGTGTCACCTGCCCAGCCCGGGCATCGCTCTGATGGGGGGGGGAGCGTGATATGCAGCCCCCTGTGTCACCTGCCCAGCCCGGGCATCGCTCTGATGGGGGGGGGAGCGTGATATGCAGCCCCCTGTGTCACCTGCCTGTCCCGGGCGTCGCTCTGATGGGGGGGGGAGCGTGATATGCAGCCCCCTGTGTCACCTGCCTGTCCCGGGCGTCGCTCTGATGGGGGGTGTCACGGAGTTCCTGGGCGATGCTCTGGAACTGCTCCCCATGAAGTCAGTCAGGACTCTGGGGTAGTCGCCTTTCTGTGAGCAGCCTGTCTTCAGGACACACAGCTCACACAGCTTCCACCTTCCTGGGTCTGACCTCGGAGCATTCAGCATCCTCTGCCTCTCCGTGCGCTTCCCACAGCGAGTCCGCTCAGGCGGGGTCCTGGGGAAGCCAGAGGGTCCTGCACCCCAACTTCGCAGTCAGACGTGACTCTCAGCCAGCCAGTAAAACAGAAGGTTTATTAGACGACAGGAACATGGTCTAAAACAGAGCTTGCAGGTGCAGAGAACGGGACCCCTCAGCTGGGTCCATTCTGGGGGCAGTGAGCCAGACAACCACGTCTGCACTTCACTCCATGTCCCAGCCAGCCCCAAACTGAAAAACCCCTCCAGCCCCTCCTCCTCTGGGCTTTGTTCCTTTCCCGGGCCAGGAGGTCACCTGATTCCTTTGTTCTCCAACCCTTCAGCTCTCACCTTGCAGGGGGGGAAGGGCCCAGGCCATCAGTTGCCAGGAAACAGGGTGTCGGCCATTCTCTGTGTCCAGACTCCTGCACACACATGCCCTCTAGGGCACTGCAATGATCATACACCCTTACCCCACCACCTAGATACTTAAGAACTGCCTAGGGGAAACTGAGGCACCCCCACACTATTCAGAGGAAACATTAAGAACAGTCCCACTTCGTCACATCTCTCCCCCCTTCGAGATCGAACTGAGCGGGGTCACTTTAGCCGGTGACCTGGGGAAGTTCGAAGCCACCAACGTTCCCATGGATGCCCCAGCATCTCTCCCATTCCTTGGTAGGAGTTACACCAGGCCCTTCCAGTTTCACGCCCTCCCTTAGGTCAGGGGTGGTCGATAGCACTCGCAGGCCGCATGTGGGAAGGTTTATGCAGCCCCTGCCCTTTGGCCACCCCAAGAATGTCTCCCCATTGACCATCACCTTCTACTCCCACTGGAGGTCCGGGGGGGCCTGGCCCCAGGAAACTCCACACAGACATATAGGTTGGGGTCAGGAGTGGGAGCCTGTCCACATCCCCAACCACCTGGCTGACGGAGTCTATGGCCTTGGGACCCAGCAAGGGAGCTAGACACCGGGGCTTTTCCGCAGGGTCCCCTTGGTTCAGATCTCCAGCCTGCTCAAAGGCAGTGAGGTGGGCATCCACAGCCCCCCCTCCTTAACCAGGGGCAGCAATTTAGTCTCGAGGTTCCCTGCGGAACTGGCCCCCCGGGATCTATCCCCACTCACCCCGGGGAGGTCCCCTAGGCCTCTCCGCCCCACCACCGCCAGTTCATGCTGCTGCTGCTTCTGCAGCTCTTTCTCGGGCTCTCGCTGTCTCCCACGGTCCTCTTGCTCTCTCAGACTCAGCTCCAATCCCGTCCGTCTTGATCCCCCAATGGGGAACCCGATCATGAAGACCCTCGTCTGGTCGGGGACAGGAGTCTTGGCGATGCCTGGCTCCCGCTTCAGCTGCTCCCAGATCCTGCTATAGCCCCAGTTGGGGTCAGGAATCTGTTCCTTAGAGCGGTCATCCTCCTCCAGCTGCACGATTAACTCTGCTTTGGTGAACTTTCCAATGCTCAACCCTCTCTTTCTGCACAGGGTTACAATGTCCTTCTTAAGGAGACGGTGACAGGCCATCACTCCGCTCCTCCCAAGTTGTTGTGGACTCACAGGCCCGTGTGTTCTCAGCTCCCCACGGTTTCCAGGGAGAACCCCTAGTGTGCCAGCCCTTCTCAAGGTCACCACCTCTTTGCCAGGGTCGAGCTGCAGACTCCTCCGCCCCTGAGACTGCTCACTGCAGTCCCCAGGGGGACCCCATTACTGCACAGTACTTCTCGCTGGTCACACACTCCCAGGGGTTAACCGCCCCCCGAAACCGCTCCTCTCTGAGCCTTCAGCAGGCCTGGTCCTCGGCAATCCCCCCTTCGTGTTACTGCTCCCCAGTCACTTACTGCAGGAAGCGCCATCCACGGGGTGCAGTAGATCCCACCGCTGCCACCAGTTGTCACGGAGTTCCTGGGCGATGCTCTGGAACTGCTCCCCATGAAGTCAGTCAGGACTCTGGGGTAGTCGCCTTTCTGTGAGCAGCCTGTCTTCAGGACACACAGCTCACACAGCTTCCACCTTCCTGGGTCTGACCTCGGAGCATTCAGCATCCTCTGCCTCTCCGTGCGCTTCCCACAGCGAGTCCGCTCAGGCGGTGCTCCTGGGGAAGCCAGAGGGTCCTGCACCCCAACTTCGCAGTCAGACGTGACTCTCAGCCAGCCAGTAAAACAGAAGGTTTATTAGACGACAGGAACATGGTCTAAAACAGAGCTTGCAGGTGCAGAGAACGGGACCCCTCAGCTGGGTCCATTCTGGGGGGCAGTGAGCCAGACAACCACGTCTGCACTTCACTCCATGTCCCAGCCAGCCCCAAACTGAAAAACCCCTCCAGCCCCTCCTCCTCTGGGCTTTGTTCCTTTCCCGGGCCAGGAGGTCACCTGATTCCTTTGTTCTCCAACCCTTCAGCTCTCACCTTGCAGGGGGGGAAGGGCCCAGGCCATCAGTTGCCAGGAAACAGGGTGTCGGCCATTCTCTGTGTCCAGACTCCTGCACACACCTGCCCTCTAGGGCACTGCAATGATCATACACCCTTACCCCACCACCTAGATACTTAAGAACTGCCTAGGGGAAACTGAGGCACCCCCACACTATTCAGAGGAAACATTAAGAACAGTCCCACTTCGTCACAGGGGGGAGCGTGATATGCAGCCCCCTGTGTCACCTGCCTGTCCCGGGCGTCGCTCTGATGGGGGGGGGAGCGTGATATGCAGCCCCCTGTGTCACCTGCCCAGCCCGGGCGTTGCTCTGATGGGGGGGGGCGTGATATGCAGCCCCCTGTGTCACCTGCCCAGCCCGGGCATCGCTTCGGCAATGGAAACACACTGCACAGCCACTATGGCTGCCCTGTGTCAGGCTTCAGCCATGCCCCGTGGGGAGATGCTGGAGCAGGGTAATGTGGGGCAGAGAGTGATGGAGCAGCGGGGAGGCCTGTGTACCCAGGCACTGCCCCAGGACCATGTGGCAATGGGCTCATTAACCCTGTGCTGGCTGGTCTGGTACGTGCCCATCACTCAGCGCCAGCCTCCTTCCAGTGCTGTGACCGAGCCCGTATGCGCCCCGGGAATGCTACTGTCTCCTGGCTGCCAGCTAGCTAGTGCTCTGGGCCGGGGTAGCTCTGCACCTGCAGGCAGAGCAGCCTGGGCTGGTTCCCGGGGTGCGCTCTCACCCCAAGCGCTAGGGCCCTCGCCCCTGTATGCTGCATGCCCCGCCTGGCCTGTGACAGGATCCTGCCTCTGCTCCCAGCAATACCTGTACGTGGCAGACCTGGCCCGGAAGGACAAGCGTGTCCTGCGGAAGAAATACCAGATCTACTTCTGGTGAGTGGGGGCAGGCCTGGGGAGGGAGGGGAGGCCAGGGGCTGCGGGGGACGAGGGCCTGGAGGGCGGGGGAATGTGCTGCTGGACTCTTCTGGTTGCCCTTGAGCTAAGGAGGTGTCTGGAGCCCTGCCCTGCTGCAGAGCAGTGGACAGATCAGCGTCCTGCCCCCCCTAAGGCTTTGGCCTCACACGCACCATCCGACCCAGTGGGTGCTGCAGAGTCCGTGGAGGAGCCTGGCCTCCCAGCAGGGAGATGGGTGAACATGTGTGCCACTGGGAGTTGTGGGGAGAGCCCCGGGGAGGAGGCGGAGCTGGAGTCCCCGCCCGCCTGGCTCAACACCGTGCTCTCTTGCAGGAATATTGCCACCATCGCTGTGTTCTACGCCCTCCCTGTCATACAGCTGGTCATCACCTACCAGACGGTAAGAACGGTCCCTGCCTGCATCCCCTCCGGCCCCAGTATCCCAGCTCACTCCCTGGGGGCTGCTGGCTGTCCTGCTCCACGTTCTGCTGCATTCGGGGAGTTCCCAGGGTCGGTCTCTGGGCTTCAAAGCAGTCACGTGGCTAACATTGGAGATGGGCTAGTGGGCAGTTCCCTCCTGGGGCAAAGAAACCAGCCGAGTCTTCTCGCAGGTGCTCCCCCAGCAGAACGGCCCCTTCACTCCCCTCTCAAGCCGGGCACAGTCACCCATGCTTAGCAGGGCGATATGCATGCTGAGATCAGCCCTGCCCAGCCCTCTGCAGTGAAGTGCCACGTTGTCTCCCTCTGCGCTTAGCAGCCTCTCAAAGGGGAAGGCTTTGCCAAATGTCCTCTGTAAATGGGCACTTCCCTGCCCTGACTGTAGCCAGTCCCAGGGGTGGAAGCTAGAAGAAGACATGAACCCTGAGTCACCCCTCGCTGTCTGCCCAACCTGGGCCGTGAGACTGTGCTGGCATCGGGGTCCTGCACTCGCCCAGTGTGGCTGGATCCCCTAAATCCTTTGCCCTGCCCCCCCTCCTCAGTGAGTGCACGTTTCTATTGGGGACACCTCCCTCAGGCCCCCGAGTCCTGGCTGTGAGCCATGCCAGGCCCCTTCCAGCTGGTGTCCCCTGCCCTTCCTCTTCAGGGTCTCGCTTTGCTTCCCCGCTGCAGGTGGTGAACGTGACAGGGAATCAGGACATTTGCTACTATAACTTCCTGTGTGCCCACCCGCTGGGGAACCTCAGGTAGGAGCTGGCGCGGGGCTCCCAGTGACGCTCCCTGGGCTTTCCACATGGGCTGACGGGGAGGAGGGGGGAGAGCTGGGCCCCCCAGTAGCACCCAGGAGGGGAGCCCATGTGAACTGTGCTGCCCCCTTCCCGTGGGATGTGGGCAGGGCTGCAGGGCGGGGAGGGGACAGAGGATGCTGCTGCCTGGGGCGGGGGCAGTGCCCTGGGAGGGCCGAGCTGCGTGGGTCCAGTGGCGGTGACCCGGACTGACCTGCTTCCCGCCAGCGCTTTCAACAACATCCTCAGCAACCTGGGCTACGTGCTGCTGGGCCTGCTCTTCCTGCTCATCACCCTGCAGAGAGAGATCAGCTGCAACCGGGCGCTGGTGCGCAACGACATGCAGGCCCTGGTGAGCGCCACCCCTCGCACCTGCCCTGCTCCTTGGAGCCCAGGCTCCGCCGCCCCCGTGGGGCAGGCGTCCCTGAGAGGCGGGGTGGGGGACCTGCCTGTGCCTGAAGCCTGGGCGATCGCCATCCCCTGTGATGCTAGCTGGGATGGGCAGGACTGCGCCCTTGGGTGGGGGCGGGCAGGGCCTGGGTGCTGCATGGGGAGTTCCTCTGGGGGGTGTCCAGGGGAGGCTGCCACCTGGTGCCCCCTGCCTGAGCTGGGAGTGGGTCTCGCTCAGGCCAGGTGCCTTTTGGCCAAATCTGTCGGTCTGAGACAGGCGTGTCCATCCTCCCTCTTCCCCGCCCCCCAGGAGTGTGGCATCCCCAAGCACTTCGGCCTGTTCTACGCCATGGGCACGGCGCTCATGATGGAGGGGCTGCTCAGTGCCTGCTACCACGTCTGTCCCAACTACACCAACTTCCAGTTCGGTGAGTGCTGAGGCCGGGCCTGCTCGGGGCTCCCTGACCCTGCAATGACACCCACCCTTGAGAGCTGCCACCCTCTGCCCGGCTCCAGCACGGAGCTGGAGTGTGGGTGACTGCCAGGGGAAGTTATTGGGCCAAGCATCCTGGGCTCTCCTCCGCCCAGTGCAGCCCGTTCGCTGGCTGCTCCAGCCCCCTGAGCTCACCCCCTTCCCAGCCTCAGACTCCCTCTCTCCTGTCCCTACCCAGCTGCCATGGGGCTGTGGTGCTGGCAGAGAACGGGCACGGGTGGAGCTCTGGGGGGGTTTGTGCTGCAGCCTGCAGCATCAGACAGCCCCCAACATCCCCCAGTGAGCTCAGGGAGCCGCTGTGCTCCCAGCAGACGGGTGTGCAGCACCGCTCTGGCCCCACGGCTCGGCACTCCAGCTGTGTGCTCTGGGCCATGTCCCAGATGTGCAGGTTCCTCCCGCCATTCCTTTCTGAGCTGTCCCTGCCCTCCTCTCCCTCCCACGGCAGCCAGGACCCAGGCTCCTGCGGCTGTGCAATGCTGAGGGACTGCCCTCGCTGCCAGCCTGCCCCTCACCGGCCCCTCACTCAGCCTGGCTGTTGTCCCTCTTTGCAGACACTTCCTTCATGTACATGATCGCGGGGCTCTGCATGCTGAAGCTGTATCAGAAACGGCACCCGGACATCAATGCCAGCGCGTACAGTGCCTACGCCTGCCTGGCCATCGTCATCTTCTTCTCCGTCGTCGGCGTGGTAAGTGCCAGCCCCGGAGCCGCGTCCAGAGGGAGGAGCCACTGGCTCAGAGCTCGCCAGCTTGCCGGTGCCCCCTGTGCAGACGGGCTCAGTCCAGGTGGGCGTGTTACTGGCCATCTGCAGAGGGACTAAGGACTAAGCTCTCTGAGAGCCTGTGAGTCGTTGTTGGCCAGCAAACCCCGCACCTGGAGAGGGCAGCAGTTGCCCTAGTAAAATCCAGGCTGCCTTGCCCCAGGCATGAATCCTGGCTCTGTGGCTCTCTCAGCAACCGGGTGCTGATGGCTCCTTCTGTAACCGCAGCTCTGACGCCTGCGTCGCGGGCCCCTGGGGACCAGCCCCAGCCCTGCCTCCCACCCGCTCACCCCGTCTTCTCCCCACAGGTCTTTGGCAAAGGCAACATGATGTTCTGGATTTTCTTCTCCATCATCCACATCATCGCCACACTGCTGCTGAGCACGCAGCTCTACTACATGGGCCGCTGGAAACTCGGTGAGGCCCCGCCCCGGGACAGGGATGGGGGGCAGAGCCAGACTCCCAATGGGCACCGCAGGCAGGCCAGCCCAGCCCAGCAAGTCCTTGTCTCTGCATCATGGCCTGCGTGGTCCCATGGCGCTAGAATGCCTGCACCCAGGTGACTGCCCAGCCCTCCTCCCTGCTTAGTATACCCCACGTCCAGGGCTCTCTGCGCACCGGCAGAGCAAGTCTGGCTCCTGCCCACCTTGGGCATTGTCAGAGCTGCCGGCTCAACTCTCACAGGAGATGTCTGCACTTCCTCGGAGGTCTGTGGGGCCGAGCGTTGCCGGCCCTGCTCTGATGAGCCCGCAGCGCTGGTGACTAGAGGGGACTTGGTCTGAAAGCCAAGCCAGCTTGGCGGTGGGACTTGCTGCAGGGCCCACCCTCCCGGGCTGCGTGATGGGCTGGGGGAGCCCCCAGCTGCAGCTCCGCACCTCCCTGCTCTGTGCGGTCAGCCTCTGCTCACATTGGCCTCCCTCCTGCAGGACTGCTGCTCTGGGAGCACAGGATTCAGGCTCTTCCCTTCCGGATGGAGCTGGCTGCAATCTATGCCCTGCTGGGCTAGGAGGGGCCGGGGAAGGGCCTGCTGCCCCCTCCCCAGGCTCTAGCTCTGTCTCTCTCTGCAGACTCCGGGATACTGCGCAGAATTGTGTACGTGCTGTACACAGATTGCATCCGCCAGTGCAGTGGGCCCATGTACGTGGTGAGTGAGTGGCTCACTTCAGCCCCTGACTCTCAGGAAAAGCCTGTGAGTGGCTAACGCTGCGTGATGAGGACTAGCTGCAACAGCATGAGCCTGGCCCGGTGCCCTGGGGCCAGCCCAGAGCTCTCTGTGCTAGACGGTGGATTTTCCAGCAAGGCCTCATGCTGCGGGCCCTGGGGCTGTGCTCAGGACGCATCTGGCCACCTTACCACGCCAGCAGGGGGGCAGGATGTTTTGATGGACCACAAGCCCAAATCTGCCAGTGCAACCCTGCAGCCCCTGGGCATGACAGCCCTGGGCCCCTGCCCAGCCCCCTCTGAAGCGCATTCCCAGTTTACTCAGCTCTGGGCCTGGCTCTGCGATGGAGACAAACGGAGCTAAACCAAGAGTCTGCCCCAGAGGTGACAAGCCAGTGACCATGTTGCCCACCCCATGAAGCGCTGTCCCCTCGCAGGGGGCTCAGGGGCCTGCTTGAGCCTGGGCTATCTGAGCTGGAGGGCACCATGCTTTTGGAAGCCGAGGTCCTAGATTCAATCCCCACTGCGGACGACTCCCCCAGGGTCCTTTCCTTGAAGCCTCCCTCCCCCTCCTGACCCAGCATGGCCCCTCTCAGCCCCCCATCCTCAGAGTTAGCCCAGACCCACTGCCCTCCAAGTGGGATCCAGGGAAGCTGTTTCCTTGGCCGTGGTGGTATGTGACGCTGGGCCCAGCTGAGGTGATCTGAGCTCCATGGCAGGACACAGAGCTCGCGCTGTGATCAGGGCTTCTCCACCTGCTCCCTGCGACCAGCATCCTCCCAGCCAGAGAACGGCTGAGCCACCATGTCTCAGACGCAGATGAACCGTGCCCTGGGGCAGAGAGTGGGTCTGGGAGATGGCAGCTCTAACGGCTCTGAGCCATGAAAACGGGGTCCCGTCGACTTGCCACCCCCCCGGAACCGCTAGCCCAGCATATATTCCCTCCCCTGACCCTCCTCGTCTGTGTTTGCAGGATCGAATGGTGCTGCTGGTCGTGGGCAACATCATCAACTGGTCACTGTAAGTGTGTGTGTGTGTGACAAGCCCCAGGTTGCCCAGAAGGAGAGTGCTCTGTATGAGGAAAGGGGGCATCAGGAGAGCTCCCCTCCCACCACTGCCAACGCACCTCAATCCAGGCCCTCCCCTGCTGCTATGCCAGCCCCGGCCCTGAACTGCTGGTCTCAGTTGTTCCAGGCTAGCCCTCTTCTGTGCTACTATGCAGCCGTGCCGGGAGCTAGGCTGAGAACGCACCACTCGCATCAGCTGTGAACACCATGGGGTGAAGCAGGGTGTAGCACCCTGGAGAGGGAATGCACTGCGGCTTGCTAGCAGCAGCCATGGAGGGCTGCCCCGGACAGCAGTCGGGCTAACACCTTTCCCCTTTCAGCTCTGCTGCTGGGCAAGGCCCAGGATGCAGCAGGCGCCCCAGGTTAAGTTCCAGGAGACCCAGGTCATCTTGCTGGTGGCTGCAGGGTTCAGAAGTGGCCACAGAGAATTGCTGCTGAAGTGGGCATGGGGATGCCCCAGTCTCTGCTATGCTGCAGCTGGGGGCCCCCCTCTGCTGCCTTCCTAACCCACCTCTCCCTTCCCCAGAGCTGCCTATGGACTCATCGTCCGACCAAACGACTTTGCCTCCTACCTGCTGGCCATCGGCATCTGCAACCTGCTGCTCTACTTCGCTTTCTACATCATCATGAAGGTATGGGGACGCCCCTGTTCCATCACTGTCTGCGGACAGGCTAGGAGCTCGGCTGGACAGACCCCCTGGCCTTGCGGAGGGGGGCCCGTACCCCGGGAGAGCTCTGGGGTGAAGAGGGAGTGACTGAGCCCTGGGGTTACCCTAGAGTCAGGCCCCAGCAGGGGAGCAGGACCCATAAGTCCTTTCACCAACATCCCCAGAGACCTGGCACCTGCACCACTACCCCCAGCACCGCTGAGCCCTTCCAGACGCTATCTGTCCAGGTAGTGGGGAGAGAAGCCTCTGTCACTGGGGAACGTGTGGGCCTAGCCTCCAGAGAGCCCTTCCCAGGCCCCAGGTGTGCCAAGGCAGGTGCCTAGCCCTCTGCATCTGCGGGGCATCCCTGTTCCCCTGCCCTCTGTGTGTCCTGGCTGTCGCCGTTCCCCTGCCCTCTGCGTGTCACCGTTCACCTGCTCTCTCTCCTCCCCAGCTCCGAAGCGGCGAGCGCATCAAGCTCATCCCCCTGCTCTGCATCATTTTCACTTCCGTGGTCTGGGGCTTCGCTCTCTTCTTCTTCTTCCAGGGTCTGAGCACCTGGCAGGTGAGTGGTGGCTCATGCCAGCCAGGGCCTTGACTATGCAGGGTTGACGTGTCTGGTCCACACTCGGGGGGTCTCCTGCTTGGAGTATTACTGTACAGGGCAGGCAGTGGGGGCAGCGTTGTGCATGGCCCGAGCGCCCGGTCCAACCTACTTGCAGCTCTTCTAGGCTGCAGCACGCCCCTGGGCAGGAGCTGCGCAGGGAGGAGGCCGGCAGCGTGCTTGGCTGGAGATAACACACTGGCTGTGACTGTCTCCTCTGCAGAAAACACCAGCCGAGTCCCGGCAGCACAACAGAGATTGCATCCTGCTCAGCTTCTTTGATGACCACGACATCTGGCACTTCCTCTCCTCCATCGCCATGTTCGGCTCCTTCCTGGTAGGTCCTGCCAGCCCCAGCACACATGGCAATGCCAGCTCACCCAGAGGGAAAGGCTCCCCCAACCCCGGTCCCCAGACAATCAGCGGCTGTTGCCACCCGCTCCCTGCCCTGAGGCTGCATTAGCCACAGGCTGCAGCCCTCCCACCCTGGGATGGGAGCACATAGGAGGGTCCCCAGAAGCACTTGTTGCTCCCCAGAGATCCGTCAGCCTTGGCCGGCAGGGGCAGCCCCTTCCTCATGGCTACCAGGTCTGCCTTCGGGAGCACGCGGTCCCTGTCAGCCTGAGGCGAGAGCACACGTCTTGCACGGCCCTCTGTTCCGTGCCCGTGTAGAGCCCCAGCGAGGCCAGGGCCGACTGGCAGGTGCCTCGCTCTGTCCACCTAATGCTGCAGCATCCTCATGGCCCCCTCTGCCGGCTGCGACATAGGCTCCCGTCCGGGCCAGCCCCTGTGCTGAAAGCAGGGGGCTGAGTCAGGTCTAGAACGAATCATAAACTCCACCCCACCCCCATCAGCACCAGCTCCACTCATCCAAAAACACCAATGTGGGGTCGGAGAGGTTCCCAGCACCCTGCCCTCCTCCCGCTCCCCCATACCCCCCAGCCCTCCTCATCTTCCTGCCCCCGTCCCACCCCAGCACCCTGTCCTTCTCCTCTTCCCTCCCCCCATCTCCCCTCAGCACCCTGCCACTGTCCCAGCACCCTGCCCTCCTACTTTTTCCTCCCCACCGCCCCCCCAGCACCCTGCCCTCCTCCTCTTCCATCCCCCATCACCCCCCAGCACCGTCCTCGTCCCCCCCCCAGCACCCTGCCACGGTCCCAGCACCCTGTCCTCCTCCCCCTAACCCCAATCAGGGGGTGTGGGGGGAACGCTGCCTACTAGAGGGGGAAGGTGTTTGTCCTCGAGCTGAGCCCCGGCCTAGCCACTGCCCTATCCCCTTGCAGGTGTTGCTGATGCTGGATGATGACCTGGACTGCGTACAACGGGACAAAATCTATGTCTTCTAGGCCCTTTCCCGTAACACCACCTGGCCTGAGGTTTGTTAGTTGGGGCCTCCCGGAGGGGACTCCATCCGGCCCAGGTGCTGCCTGCAGCCCTGGTCTCCGGTGTAGCGGACACTCATGGTGGGGAGCTCACGAGGACATGGCAAAGCATCCCAGGTGTGGGGGCTTCTCTGGAGGTGGGAGTCGTGTTCATGCTCCCCCGCCCGCCTCCTGCATGCCATGGTGTCGTCCAACCCTCAGACAGCGCCTTGCCAAACTGAGCACATCACCTCCTTGCTTGAGCTGCTCAAAGGGCTGCAGGGCAGGCCCGACGCATCCACCTGCCGCCACGTGGCTCACAGAGAGGGGTGGGGATGGTGTGAAGCCCGGTCAGACTCAGCAGAAGCTGTTGCCCTTTCCCCTGCTGGGGCGACTGGTCCTGCAGTGTCGTGGGGGTGGCTCCAGGTTCCCAGCCTGGCAAGTGGTGGGTTCTCACTGCACTGCCGTTCTCCCGTCTCTGTCCCCACCACAGTGCCATGCCAAGACAGACTGCCATGGACACCTCTGCCTAACATGCCTGGCTCCTCCTCAGCCAGCCAGCATCCAGGTTCCCCCTTCATGTTTATCCCATATAGCTCTGGGGCCAGCGGGGGGCAGGGAACCTCTCAGAACAAACGTCAGGCAAGTTAGAAAACGCTCCAGTACTGGCCAGGGCACGGGGGAGCAATGTGGCATACCCTGCAAAGAGGATATTCAGCCCTCTCCCAGCCCAGGGACTGGCCTGCTCAGCTGTGCAGTTCAGTCGGTCCCCCCTCAGGCTGCTCCCGAGCTGGGCAGCTCCTCTCAGGCCTGGCTGTTTAGCGAGAGCGCTGGGCCTTGGCATAAGTGTCCCTGTCAAGGCTTAGATCAGGCCCTTCCTCTCTGCAGGCTCCCTGGCTCCCTCCTGTCACCCCCACCCATCGTCTGGTCCCGGGGCAGGAGCCACTGCCCCCGCCAGTCTGTATAGCCTCCCCGCCCGCTAGAGCAGGGGGCAGCCCAAGCCCTCGTGGCCCTACAGTAGGGTCTGAGGCATGGCGAAGGCGATGCTGAAGCATTGGGCTCTCGCTGTGGTTCCAGCACTGTTCTCGGTGTGGGCTGCCCCCCCCCACCTGACAAGCTGTGAGGTAGGCCCAGAAGGGAGTTCCCAGCCCTAGTGCCCTGGGGCTGTAGCTGCCATCCCTGCTGTCTTCACGGTTTCCTCCCCTCCGCCCGGGCTATAACCAATGTTACAGACCACAGGCATGTCTGACCCACAGCCGGAAGAGGGGCTGTCCGGTCTCCAAGGCACGTGACTCTTGTAAAGGCGCTGCTGCTATCGTTCGTACACCTGTGGCCTTTCCCGCGGGGGAAGGGTGCCGTTCACACCCCTTGCCAACGTGACGCCGTCCCCGTGGGTGCAGCACATCCAACCCGTGCCCCAGGCGGAGGCTCCTCCGAGAAGCGGGAGAGCAGCCGGGGGCAGTTGCATTTCGGTTCTAGAAGCACATGGGCGCATGACTCTCTTCAGTGCCTAATTTTTATCATTTTATTTATTTTTTTTTTCGGGGGGGGGGGGGGGGGGAAGATGTATGTCCAGTCTAACTGTGTCTGGTTCCTCCCACTGCTAAGGACTTGTGTGGTCTTGGGGTCCCTCTGGCTAACATGTACTGAAGGTGGGGTGTCAAAACACACATCTGTGTTGAGGTTGTCATTAAGCAACTTTCTCTGGTAGCCTGCTGGCTGTTTACATTGCAAGTTTGAGCTTGTATTCTAATCTTAGAATTGTTTAGGTTTAGGCTCAGGCTCAAATTTGGACTCCACTCCAGGACTCTGTTCTCTTTGTTCTGGCCACATAACATATCAGTGATGGTTCTGTGGTGCAAGGTCCAGCGGTGCCTTGGTTACACAACGAAAGGCCAAGAATGGTGCTTTTTCAGTCATTGCAGGGAAAGATACCCTCTTCCTGCTCCAGAAGAAGGGTCATGTCGCTGGAATGTCCATAGTTTTCTGGTTTCTTGAATGCATTGACAATATTTTCAAGGATATTTTGACTTTCCAGACACACTGTTACTAAACCAAGTTGCACCATGTTTTCTAAGAACGGTTTGGCCATCAAATGAAGAGAATTAAACAATAAAGTTGATCTGCACTTTATCCATGAGTCTCCTGCCTCCTCACTCCAGGAAGGCAGGGCCCCAGGTACCCCCATTAGGGACTCAGCGGCAGGTCTAGTACTGTCAGACCTGCTGCTGACCCCTTCCCCTTCAATCTGCAATGGACCCAACTTCCATGGAGCAATTAGCACACAGTTACCCCCTGTGCTGACAGCAAGGCCCAGAGCGACCCAGGTCCAGCCCAGCCTCGTGACAGCGAGCCTTCCGCTAGGAGTGGCTGCAGGGTATTTGAGTGAAGGGGAAGTAGGGAGAGTTCTGCCCCTTGCTAGGGTTTGGGGGAGCCCTTTCTCCCTGCCCTGCTGAAAGGAACAGGCCCTTGGGTGGGGGGCACCATAGTTCAGGGGAAGGGAAGCCCCTGTATCAGCTCTCCCCCCGAGACAAAGCCAAGCGTTCCCCTGGCTGCAGCACCTGTGGCTAACCCCCCCATCTGTCCCCGCCCCAGGACATCAAGCAGCGACTGGCTGCAGTCCACGCCCACGGGCCTGGCTACACCAAAGTTGGAGATTTTAACCGCAGCAGTCTAGTTCCAGCCCCTGCTGTGGGCCCAGTTCTCGCAGGGGAGGGCTGCCGCCGGCTGGCATAGCAGTTTCTGTGGAGGGTACAGCACCCTGGGAGACGTTGTACCGGTAAAAATATCACCCCCACCTGCCATAGCAGCAGCGCGGCCCCTGCAGGGGGAAACGCCCAACCCACGGGCACGAAGCCACCCTGGCCCGGCAGGCTCAGAGCAAAGCCAATCCTGACCCAGAGGGCCTGTTTTGTTCCCTTTCATCTGGCCTTGATGGAGCCCAAATCATGGGCACCTGCCAGGCCTCTCCTCGCCTGGCCCCCTCAGCAAGAATGCTTCTGACAACACCCTGCCTGGCAGCCCCCCTCACAGGCAGTGGGCCGTGGAACAGCGCTGGGAACTCCAGGGGGGACGGCTGAATGTCCAACCCCCTTCCCTGAGCCTGTTCACTCCCAGGCCAGGAGGGCAAGAGCAGAGAAACAACTGGGGGAACTGATTTATTTCCTGAATGGGGCCAGTGACAGCTGTGCAAACTCTGCTGTGACCCCAGTGTGGCTCTGCCCCAGGAAGTGCCCTAGGGCCACCCCAGCTGCCAGCTGACAAACCGAGCCAGGGATGCTTCGGTCCCGAACAGCGAAGCACCACTAACCATTTCTTCAGGAAAGTTTAATGTTTTTCTCAAAAACCTGAGCCCTTTTCAGGTTCTCAGGTGTTTGTGATGGGAGAGGGTAAGGGGTTGAGCCATTTTTCTGTTCGAGGCCCAGAGACCCACATTCGATCCCTGTGGCCACGGATCCTTCCAGGAGCCGCTTTCCAGATTCACTGGACAGTAGCAGACTCTCACAGCCCTACAAGCTGGGCGCAGTCACCTCACCCCCTGCAGGGAGCTCATTAGCAAGCCAAGGATCTGAGCACGTCCTGGTGCTAAGGGGGTTGGCTTGGGCCTTTGGGGTGCCATGGGCAGTGGGGGCCCAGCACTACACACACTCTTCATTAACTGATTAGACAGGGCTAGGTTCAGCATGGCCCTGCTCCCTGGCCTCGCATCTGGGCCCAGAAGGGGCTCCTTGTCTGGTCACCGCTGCCCCATCAGCAGGCTCTGTTCCCACAGCTGCTTCCACTCTCTCTCCAAGCCCTGTCTCTCTCTGCAGGCTCTCAGCAAGGTCCCTGACCGTCCCCACGAGCACCCTCAGCTCCTCCGCTCCCTTCAGTCCGTGCTGCCCGCCCTTGAATAGTGTGATGCGGACATCCTGGCTCTCCAGATGTTCAGCCACCTGCACGGCCCTGCCCCATGGTATGAACTGGTCCTGCATGCCATGGAGCAGCCGGACAGGGCAGGTGATGGGGATGGACGGGCGCCCCAGCAGACTGTGCTCCTCCATCTCCGCAAAGAACTCCCGCTTAATTAGCACAGACCCAGACCCAGCCATCTTGTAGTTAAAGACTCCTGTCTGCTCCATTTCGCCCTTCACCTAGCCCCCCATGGGCAGAAAATGCACAGGTCAGTCAGCACCAGCTTTGGGATCAGGGAGATGCTTTTGCCCCACAAGCTACACAAAACCTTGGGCTGTCAAGACACCCTACCCCCCTACTCCCACAAGCCAGAGCCGCAGGGCAAGCCCCTTTCTGGTTCCAGACCAGGGTGGGAGGGGAGAGACTCCAGACAGATCAGCAGCAGCCTGGATCTTTCTCCCCAGCTGGATGGGCAATTGCTTGATCCCCCCCATTCCTTGGGGCTCACTGGGAGCAGAGGTGCCAGGAATGTCCCCCCCTCCTTGCTGAAGGCCAGGAGCGATTTCTTGGGCTCAGTGAGGAATAGGTCTCTAGGGAGAGCGCGATCGCTGGAAGGACTCACAGTCTGGGCCTGGTGTCTGTTTCCCCGCTCAGCAGGGACAGAGCTGAGACCAGGTGCATTTGCTTCCAAGCAGGGTTCGGGCAGTGCTCACATACTGGGGAGGCGACTCTAGGCATTTGTTCCCAGGGGTGGGTTAATGAATACAATCCCGCCCCCTTTCCGCCCAGCACACAGGGCTCAGGGCCTCTCCTACGCTGAACGCATTGTGTGCTGGACCCTGGCTTACCTCCGGAGGGAGCTCTCTATACAGGGTTATGAAGGCATCAGCCCCGATTCCTGTGGCCACCAGCCCAGCCACCCTCCCTGGCCGCTCCAGGGCTGCTAAGAGCATGAGCCAGCCTCCCATGCTGGCCCCAACAAGGATCTAGAGAGATGGAGACAGGGAACGGTCATGGTCAAAGAGAGGCGCACCGCCCAGCAGGCGGCCTTTGCCTCATCCACGCTCCACTGACGTGGTGCTATGTCCACTCCGTCCCTCTGCCCAGGGCCTGCTCTCCTACAGCCCAGCCAAGCGCTATCGTGAATCTGCTGCACGGGGGCACCAAGGGGTTTGAAGAGCCCTATCTGTTGGGCAAAGCTTCCCTGCTGCAAGAACCCCCTGGGACCTGCACCCCAGCAGGCAAAGCCCTTTGCACCGACCCAGAGGCAGAAGGGGCTGCTGGCTTTGCCTCCTACCTGTGGCCCGCTGGTGAGTTCATCCAGCACTGTTAGGACGTCGTTTTTCCAGTGGCCGATCAAACAGTCCTCAAAACACCCGTCCGAGCTGCCGCAGCCCGTGTAGTCGAAGCTGAGAGGACAAAGGTGCAGAGCTGTTCAGGTGCGACAGTCCCCCACCTCCCTGTTGGGTGGGGATCCCTCTGCCCCCAGCAGCTCACAAGCTCTGCTCCCAGACCCTGCTTGTCCTGCCCCCAGCTGGCTTTGGTGGCTCTGGCGGCTGGAGGGGATTCCAGATCTCTGTGCCATCAGGGCAGAGTCCAGACGATATTGCTTTTGCTGGGCCCACGTCTAGGGGCACTCGCTCTGCCGGAGACACAGGCCTTGCTTTGAACGCGGCGGGAGGCGGAGAGGAATGGGCGGGGAAGCAGCACAGGAGACAATCCGGGCTAGGGCGGGGAGGGATGTCACAGGGGTGCTGAGCCCAGCTGGGGAAGGGCGCATGCCTGGCTGGGGCCACGCTGGGGACAAGAATGAGCGGAGCGGGAGGCACTGCATCCAGGGCCCGTGCAAGCAGGACACACGCCGAGAGCCCACTCCTGGCAGGGCCAGGGGCTGCACTGACTGATGCCCAAGGACGTACAGTCCTGTGGTCTCTGGCCCAGGGGCTGGAGCTCCCAGCTGGTGGCTGCTGTTCTGAATGGCTCTGGCAATTCCCCATGGGCTGCCCTATTGGCATTAACGGGCCATCACCTACCTCAGGAAAGCCCGTCCCGACTCCTGGCAGAACTGTTCTAGGGCCAGGCACTTGGGGTTAGCTCTGGTGTCCTTGAACCCCAAGAGGAAGACGATGCCGGGGCTGCGACCGGCCAGCCTGTTGTAAGCCAAGCGGGGCAGGGCTCCCCGCGACAAGAATAAAGGTGATGCCATGGTGGGGCCGGGGAGCTTGGTGCTGCAGGGGGGATAGAGGCAGAGGTGTTACCCACGTGTCTAGCAGCTGCCAGCAGCAGCAGAGCCATCCCACATTGGGGGGGACACAGTCTGGCCACCCCAAAGCAGAGGGTGCGGGGATCCTGGCATGGACCTGTGGTGCACCATGTGGGCACCCTCCCCCACTCACAGCCCTTTCATCCTGCTCATAAACTACCACATGGGGGTCCCAGTGCCGGCTTGGCCTGGGGCCACTAGGAGAAGGGATGGCTGGGGCCCAGGCCAGATTTGGGTCAGGCCCTAGCCAGCGGCTGGGAAGCAGCAGTCTGCCCAGCTGCCTCTCCAGTGGGTTTTGGCAAGGACAAGTGACTGCCTGCAGCTGTCACCCCCTGGGCCAGACCCCAGCCAGAGGGGTCTCTCTCAGGGCAGGGGCCAGCAGCGGTCACGCGGGGGAGGGGCCTTGCTGAGATCAGCTTCTGGCCAGCACTAGCTGCAGTTTGCACACTGCAGCCCGAGACTCACGGCAGTTTTGTTCCAGCAGGTGCAGAGGCTGTGGCTCAAGGTTCTGGCTCAAGCCAGAACACGCAGCTTTCGCGGAGGCCGCGGGGAGCTCGGTGAGTTGTTTTCCTCCTGCTCCTGGGCACCTCAGTGTCTTGGCGTGGCTGGAAGCACTGAGGTGCCCGGAAGAGACGCACCCAGCCTGCCATGGGGCGGCCGTGGCTGGCTGTTACCACGGTGGACCTTGCCCTCTGGTACCTGGGTGGTGTGCACAGCCTCCGGTGCTGACACAGCCCCGAGCCTGCAGCAGACGTTACCGCCACATCATCGCTCCTAAAGAGGTGGGTTTCTACACCCACCTACAGCTGGGCAGAGGGCTCCAGGGTTTGATCTCAGCTAGTTACAGTGGAGTAATTGCTACCTGGCCTTGTCCCCATGAGGACTTTGAGGTGAGATACTGCACGGTCGGTCGTTATCCTGTCGTAATCCCGCCCTACGCACACACACACCCCTCTTAGGCAGCGAATGACGGCATCCCTGCTGTGAGAAGGAAGGTGCATTGTGCTGCCATGGCCTTTGTAACCCTCGCTGGTTGTTTTGGGGGTAGCCATGGGGGGTGAATGGGATGCTAAGGAGCTTGGCTACATTTGTGCATCCCACAGGTTACAGAGCAGGGGCTCCACCATTTCACTCCACAGGGCACTTGCTGCAAGGGCCCCTCCCCTCCCCACACCACTGGATTGTCAGCTTCCTAGTGTAGCCCCCTGAGGCGGGGACTGAGGAGCAGGCCCCCCAAGGGCACAGACGTGCCCCACACTCACACGTGTGGGCACGCTCTCCCTGAGAGCCTGGGCACAGGACCTGTGCGGCCTGCAGAGCAGGTACGTCCTCCCGCTTAGCTCCGTCTCCTGTAGGGGACCTCCCAGCTGACAGTGGCCCAGCTCAGACGCAGGGGATCCCTGTTCACTCACCGGGCAGCCGTTGGCTTGAGACCAGCAGGGCCCCCAGCGTGAGCCAGGGCTGGCCAGCCAGTCCTACAGGTGGGGAGTCAGCTAACCAAACGGCAGCCCAGCACCTCCCTGACTGAGCGACCTCAAAGGTGAGCTGATACCTGCTTTATCTCAACAGCTGCCAGCCGCTGACCAGGGAGCACACGGCCTCCCCACCCACACAGCATAGCCAGGCCTGGCCCCTCTCCAGGGGAACCACATTGGAGATGCTGCTTGACCTGGGCTGGGGCCTGGGGAGCACCGGGCAGACGAGCAGCAAATGAAGCCGATGGGTTGGAGGCACCACAGCCGGGAGTGCCCAGATGCTGGGCTCCCCTGCTGCAGAGGGCGGGACAGCGCTGTGCTTGGTAGCCCAGACCCTCACTCCTACCGTGCAGGGGCAGCAGGGCTAGCAGCGTGGTGGGTTTATGCCAGATATGCTCAGGGTGGACGGCTGAGAACAGCGAGGACTCACGCAGCCAAAGCACCTCAGTCTGTTACCCGATGAGCAACGCCCAGCCCTGCACACGCGCACACCCCAAAGCCTTCACGCAGAGAGCCTAGCAGCTCTACTTCACCCCCTTCTAACTCAAGGGGCAGGCCAGCTCGCTTGTCCAGCCCAAAACACACAGCACCAGGACAACTGGAGATGGGGCACCAGTCCTTGGGGCTCTCTGGGGAGAATGGCTGGCTAGAGAACAAGCCTGGCCATTTGGATGCCACAAGTAAGCCCTAATCCCAGACACACTGCGGGCACTTGCACTGAGCAGGTCAGAGGACGGAGGCTTCTCCAAGGCTGCTAGAGGAAGAAAAACCTCAATGTTACTGAGAAAGGCCAATTAGCAGCTCTGCTACAGCCTTGTTACCTGAGCTTAGGAATCACTTCCCCTCACTGGGCCCTAACTATGAAACTGGGCTGCTAATAACAGCCCCACTACACAGAGCACTTGGAGAACTACAAGAGGTGGTTTGTTTATTGCCCCCGTCTACACTCATCCCATGCTTCAACTCCCCATCCTCCTTCCACCAACTCTCCACATTTCTCCACTCCCAACACCCAGCCCCTGATCCACTCACAGTCTGTGCGCTTCTCCCTCTAGCCATTCATCCACCAACCCCTTTAGCCACTGGCCACCCCACCTGTTCCCACTTACATGCCTGCTCCCTGCCACTGTGCTCCACACACCAGCCTCCTCCACTTACTCACCTGCTCTCAATACATTTCCCACCTCCACACCCCTGCCCCTTCCTCATCAGCCAACCACCATGGAGCAGTACTTATAAAACAACCCTCCAAAGCTCTTCTCTTCTGCTCAAAGGGTCTCAGTCAGTGGTGTCTGGTAGTCTAGTAAGGACTAGGCATATAAATTAATGGTATTGGAAGAAGGGGTATTCTAAGAGTCAGGGGTTGGTAAAGGAAAAACTAGAGTTAACTTTAGTTCCAGGTGTAGAGCAAGGCCACATAACTACTATAAATAGCATCTTGTGCATATGTACAGCACCTGATAGCCCAGAGCAGTTGGTGAGCTTTGCATGGCAGGGAAATGCCATCATCTCTGGGCTGCAATGACCCCGCAATCTAAGGACACACAGCAATGCTACACCACAGCTTCAGACAGAAAAGGAGAACGGGGCCATAAATCTGAAGCCTGTAGGGGGGCATAGGGAGGCAGAATATCATTTGTCTGGGAGGCTGGGGTTAGCATTCCCACTTGTGACAAGTGCTGGGGGTCTCTAACGAGCACAAGGTGTCACAGCTTCAGTTTTGTGTGTCGGGAGAGTCTGGAGGCTCAGGCACTGGGATCTGGCTCGGGAGATCTAGGGTTACTTCCCTGTTATGCCCTGAGTCTGGGCATGACTTGGGCAAGACACTGAGTCTCTGGGGGAGTCAGATCCCCAGATGTAAAATCTTCCTTTCAAAGCAAATCTGAGGTGTGGATTGTGGGTGTTCAGAAGGGGCTGCAACTGAGTGTTGCTCTGGAGCACCCGCTGGGTCCTCTGCACATGGCTCTGTTGTTCCTCCGCCTGCCGGAGGGCTGGGCTCCCCCTACCAGTGACACTCAGCCTTGACCTGCAACAGCCCCAGCTTTTGCAGAGCTGGGTCACTCTAGCAGGGCATGGCAACCATCCCATCAGGTGCGAATTATGCTGTGCACATGTATCCACCCAGTGAGATGAGGCCTGTGATGGGTTATGCCCCTTAGAAAGCCGCCTGGTGTGTTGATACCACTGAGTCTACCTATTCGGACAGCATGGGCCCCCTTTAACCTGTCTTGCTGAGTCAGGCTATTAAAGCCTCCTCTAACACATAAACACAGGCAGGGCTACCCCCAGCTGCAGCTCAGCTCTGGGAAGACTGCTTCGGCACTTGCTCCAGCACTCCGGTGGTCACTCCTTTTAAGGGGTACAAACCCAAAGGTTTTATGAAATTTTCCCCCTTCCTCAATGTGGAGAGAGGTGTGCACGCTTCTTGCCCCCTCCCCCAGTTAGAAATTACAGACACTGGGTTTAATAATAAACAAACTATAAAAGGCAGATTTTAAGTGGTAAAAGGGGTAACACAGAGAACAAAGCAGATTACTAAGCAAGTGAAATCAAACACGCAAACTAAGCTACTTTCATTAAAGAAGCTGGTTACAAATAGTATTTCTCACCCTAGATATTATTGCAGGCAGGTTGCAAAGTTTCTGTGGTTCAGAATTCCAGTTATGCTCCTTTTCAGACTGGACCCCTGTCTCAGTCTGGACTCCCCCCACTTGCCTTCCCTTCAGGTGGCTTTTGCAGTCTTTCTACTTGGGCAGACAGGCCATGGAGAGGAAGAGTCCTGTTTGTCTTCCTCCCCACCTGTAAATAGGATTGACATAATGTGGGAGTCCTTTGATTCCCAAACTTGACCCCCCCCCCCCCCCGCTTCCCTTACAGTGGAAATTTACAGGAAGTCCCAGGTAATGTGTTTTAGGTAGTACCTGACTCTTATCACAGCCTCCATGAGTCAGAGGCAGTATGGAGGGTCCACAGGAAGGCCAAGCATTTCACAGTCCCTTGTCCTTGCTGATGGGCCATCCGCCCTGTCTGGCTTTTCCACTGTTGTACCTGAAGTGTTGGCAGTGGGTGTCACCCAAAATAGCATAGCTGAAATACAGATACCTAGTCAATATTCCTAACTTTAGATACAGAAATGATGCAGGCATACAATCGGATAATCACATTCAGTAAATCATAACCTCTCCAGTGATACCTCACATGAGCCATCTTGCATGAAGTACAGTTATGTCGTGTTCATGTCATAAGCATGTTTTCATAAAGAACATGGGGTAACACATCACAAGCCCCACCAGATTCATTTCATGTTTGGTTGCAACCCAGCCACGTTTGCCCCCGGAGGGGAAGGCAAGCGCATGAGCCCACCATGCCCCGTTGCTAGCAGTTTATTTAAAATTGTCACCACATCTCTCTAGCTCAGAGGAGATGGCAGATGCTTTGGGACCCCGCTAGCCCCAGGCTTCTGCGTGCATCCTGGAGCCTTTGTGTGGGACTGGCCCAGGGTCCACCCTGCCCTGGGCTCTCCACTGTGGGAGCTCAGCTGTTAGTCTGACGGAGCTGCTCTGGTCCCGAGGACCCAGCTGACCAGGCGATGTCACTCTTGCTCCACTGCAATGCTTTGCTGCTGAAATTCTTGCTTCAAAGCTGAGCTAGAGATCAAGCTGGGTAAAGGCTGTCCCTGCAGCTCCCACAGAGCAGTCCCCAGGCTGCAGGGGGGGTGGCTTAGACCCCAAATTCTGCATAGCCACATGTCTTGTCCCATTAACCCTTGAGCATCCCAGCAGTGGAACCTGGGGTGCAGGAGGGTTGCATGGCTCCCCCATGCCGCATGAACGAGAGTCACAGCCTCACCTCAGAGCCACTCTCATTGTCCGACATCAGCAATCCACAGGGCAGCAAAGGGGTTCGCAGCCCGGCCTGACAACCAGCGCCCACCTGAGCCCAGGGGCATTGTCCTCAGTCTGTGCGGGGTTTGTTCAAATCCATCGCTGGGCAGCCAGTGGGCCTTCCTGGGGCCTTGGCTTAGGGCGCCGCATAGCAGGAGTGTTTACATGCACTTTGCTCCAGGAGACTCGGGCCCAGTGACTTTGCTTCACTCCCCAGGGGGCTGGGCCGGGCACCTGGTGGGAGAATGACGAGACGTGCATCCCGCTCCAGACAAGCGCAGCCAGAATCAGGGCACTAAAAGCCTGGGGCACCTCCGGGCTCCGAGGAGAGGTCCTGGGCAGGCAGTGGGAGCTGCTGGGGTTATGTTGCTAACACCCAAGTGTAGCGTTAAAGCGAGCCCCTCCCCTGGGATGGGATAAGACCCACTTCCTCTCTCCTTCCCTCAGAGTGCGGCAGGCGACATGCCCCCAGCCGAGCTAAGTCCTGTGGTGGAGACTCCGACTTCTCTGCTGCAGCTGAGGGGACAGAGAGGTGGCTTCACTCTGCCACCTCACGTTGGGGGCTGTGACCCGGCTCGGGGTACGATTTTGCTCTCATAACTGACACCTGCCATTTGCCCAAATCACATTTTCTCCCAACCTGCGCTCCAAGCGGGAGCAGGGTTGGGCTGGGTAGGTACCGGCAGGAGCCCCTTCCCCTGCACGGGTGCCGGGGAGGCAGCAGAGGGCCCCCCTTTCCCTGCGCCAGCATTGGGCCACGGTGCCGTGAGAGCCAACGCTGGAGGTGCCAGCCGTTGGATGACAGATCCCCACGCCCCTGACCATCTGTGGCCATTAACCCCCGGCACACTCTGTAAGCAGTGAGGTGCTGGCCCTGGCCACCCAGCCCCATGCTTCCCGCCCCAGGTGACCTCCCTCCACGCCCCGTGGCACCCTGCACATACACCTGGCGATGCGGTCCTTCCCAAGCTGTTGAGTCACGTTGCCGGGCCCTATCAGGCAGCGGGTCACTCCCCGCTCAGCGGGGCTGGCATTCACTCCCTCTGTGAGGCCCGGGGCTGGCGAGCACGTGTAGCATTTGGGAAGCCACAGCAAAGGCCGACGTTCTCAAAAGCGGCCCCGTGGCTTCTGGCACCTCTATTTTTGCATGTGCAACTGGAGACCCAGGGTTGTGCCTGGGATGGGGGTGCTCTGCAGTTCTGAAAACAGGCCCCATGGTGTCTCCTACCAGGCACCCAGCAGTGAAGGCCCCCGAAATCAGAGTCTTGGCCTCAGGGGCTATCAGCCTGTGAAACAGCCTTGGTGTGGGGGGAAATGACCGGGGTTATTAGGTGCAGGAGCAGGGAAGGCTTCTCTATAAAAATGGAGAAGGTGATTTGCTGAAAAGCCGGCCACGCGCTTGCACAGCCCACTGCCATCCCAGGGCTGCTTGGCTTGTCCCCTGGCTGCTGCAGGCAGGCTCTCTGGGAAGCTTTGCTCACAAACCTCTAGCCCTGCCGATGATGGGGAATGTGAGCATACGGGAAAACCAGCCATGAAGTCAGGGACAAAAACCTCCCTGTACATTCACCAGGAGCCTGGTGAGCTTCTGTCTATAAAAGGACTTACTCCATCAGATCCCAGGACCCTGCTTTGTCCGGGCCCGAAAGCCACTCGCTCCAGGCATGTGGGGAATGCTTCCCGCAGACTCTTCGGTCACTGTCTTTCGGAGTCTTTCCCCAAATATGGTGCCTGGGCGCAGGGTCATTGCTGTGATGAGGGGCCTGGCCTCTCACACAGAGGGGCGGGGTGGGGCTGGCGGGGTGGGGCCCGGAGGGGGTGCTGGTGACATCACTGTGCTCCGAACTGGCCTTTTAGCACAAGGGCCAGCCTCCAGCGTCGGCAGATCCCAGCCTCCCGGCAGAGCCTCCTCCGCGAGCATCTTCTTGTAAGTGCATCCTAGAGCCTCCGGCTGCGAGCCTGGAGGGGGGCGGCCGGGGGGGGCGCAGGGCAAAGGAGAGGGCAGGCGGAGCCGGTGCTTGCTTTCCTGGCTAAACCGAGCCAGGAGGGTGGGAGGCTGGGGACAGCAGCCCTGCTCTGGGCTCTCTCCTTGCCGGGGGCTCGAAGGAGAGAGGAACTTCCCTTTGGAAAGCCTGCCAGAAGGGCCTTTGATTCCCCGGTGGGCTCCTGGGGCTCGCCGATGCGGGGCTGCCCCTGTGAACTCTCCCCTCTCCCGCGTCTGCTCAACTGGCAGGTGGGCGGTTGTTGCAGGGTCTGTCCCCCCCGGGCTGAGCGGTGTCCCAGCCAGAGGCCGAACTGCGAGGGGGGACGCCGGAGGGTACATTGGCGCTGGGCGGGGGGTCCCAAGCCCACCCAGCCAGCTGCTCGGCTCGATGCTTTCCGCGAGCCGCGGTGCAGGAGCGCACAGCTCCTCCCGGGCCTGGAGCTCAGCCTTGCAAGAGGAAGGAAGACGGTTCTTGTTTTAAACACTGAAGTTATTTCTGCACCTCCCACGGCGCTCCCCAGGCCGGCGGCCGGGCCCGGCTGGGGCTGGGGCTGGGGCTGCGTGTGGGCCCTTGCCGTGCCCCGTGATGTGCTCGCGGGGGGTCTGTGTGGGGCGCGGGGCCGCCGCAGCTCCTGGGGCGTCGCCAGCAGGAAACGGGTGACATGGATCCTGCCAGGGCTGGACGGATTTTCTGAAGCCGACTGGAAATGCTGCACGGGTGGGGGGCAGAGATGCTCGGGGCTTGCAAGAGCTCGGCTGGACGCTGTGTCCCGTTCCCACGGACTGGCCATCACAAGAGGGTCAGGGCCCAGGCGCTGTGGGGTGGGGAGCTCAGCCCTTAGAGGTGCAGGGCCCAGCACCACATACAGCGCCTCTGAGGGGCTTTTAAAGAACAGAACATGATACAGGCCGCTTGTAAGAGCGACCTCAGGACACTGGCCGCAGAGAGTGCTGTGTCTGCTGACCCATATTCCTTAGCAAAGGGGGCCCTCAGCCCCACGTGGCAGTGGGGTTAGCTCCTTGCCCCATTGCAGGAGTGCACGTCCAGGGGAGCCTGGTGGCGGCCTCTTGTGGTGAAGCTGTTTGGGCCACAGAGAAAGGGCCCTGTGAGCAGAAGTGTCGGGAGCTGCAGTTTGCACACAGAGGCGTTGAAACAGTCTGGCGCCTGTTCCTGTCCTGTGAAGTGGCCAGCCTGGTGATGGGAAATCCCCGAAATTCCTAGAAATGTCCAGTCCGGCCCTTGCCTTTCAGCCATGTTCTGGGGGCGGGGGGAGGTAGCAAGGGCCTTAAGTGTCTCATGCCAGTTTTGATCTCCTCAACAGAGGGTGGATGTGGGGCTGGTTCCATCCTGGGGGCAGGTGCATGCTGGAAATGCCCACCTGCCTGCAGAGCTGCTGGCTGCGTTGCATCACAGAAGAGAGTGCAGAGCCCCACACAGCCCTGCTCCCTGCAGAATCCTGCCCACATGGCAGCATGGCTGGGGGGGGGGGGGCTGAGCTGTCTCTGGGTGCATTGCTCCAAGGGGGTAACCAGATTGCCTGTAAAACCTGCCAGTGTGTGCAGCGGGTGCTAGCCAGGGAGTCTGCTCTGTGCAGGCCCCACTGGGAGGGATCGGGCTTGTACACTCCCCTCCAGCCTGGTCTGTGATGAGACTGGCATCCTGTGGGACTCTCCCTGTGCTGGGGGCCAACAGGAAACACCTGCCCCCAGGGCAAATCCCTGGGACCTAATGAGCAGCCGGAGCCTGTAGACCTGCAGCCAGTGAATGTTTTGGAATCGTGTGTGCTTAGGTAATTGGAAAGGGGTTAAAGTCCAGGGCTGGCTGTTCCCCACCCACCTTGTAGCATCCCACACTGGCCAGGTCCCTGGTTCTCTGATGACCTAGGTTCTTCTACAAGCCACATTTTAGAGCTGCCCAGCCCTGGAGTCCCTGGGTGGGGCCTGTTTTACACGAGGCCAGGCTGGATCCTAGTGGTCTCTCCTGGTCTGAGGTCTGTGAATCTGTCACTCCCAGTGTGACAAGATGCTGCTCGCCCTGTGGGATGTACAGGATGCAGGTAAACTCATAGACACAGAAGTGGCTGCCCGCTGGAGCAGGGGCAAGTTTCCTAGGCTGGCGCCCAGACAGGGTGGGCCGATTTGTTAATGCACTGGGTTTCGCCTTAGCAGGTGATAATTAGCTTCCTGAAGCAGTGAAGTCTGGCCTTGATGGATAGGTTCTCCACTGCTTATCTAGGGGCACTCACCCCAGGCAGCGAGAGGCTGCTGTCCGCTTGCCAAGCAGAGCTAGTGGGATCTCTGCACACTGACAGCTCAGGTGTGGGTATTTCTTACTCCCTGTCTCCACCTGGTGTATTAGCAGATCTCTCCATTTCACCTGGGAGCTGGAGCCCCAGCGATCACGGTGGGGCAGGGAAAGAACTGGAAAAGTTCCAAGTGCCATTGCATGCACCCCTCCCTCTTTGCCCCACAATAATTGGGACCAGGCCAATCCAGAGGGGCACCCTCCAGGCATGGGCAGCGGTGGAATTTGAATAGACTGTTCTGAGCGGCTGCCGTGTGAAGACAAAGGGGGCTCCGGGGCTGGGGCCTGAGCTGGTTTATTTACTGACAGTGTCAAGCTGAGGGTTACTTGTGCCTCTTGCGGCATGAATTCCCCGGGGAGACAGAAACTGGCCATAATCGTTGTTGCATGAGAGAAGCTCAGAGGGAAGAGCAAGAGGCTGTGGCTGGGTTTTCGAGAGTGCTCAGTACTGGCCACGCTCAGCTGCATTGCAGCCAACAGGAGTTTGACCAGCGACTTGCATGGAAGCAGAGTGAAGCCAACCCCGAGCACTTCAGAAAGTCCCACTCTCCTGCTGCTGTACCCCTGACGGTTCCATAGTCACCTGGTAACCAGGGGCCTGACTGTGCTCAGCGAGGCCGGGGCAGCTGGGCTGACACCAGGGGGTCGTGTGGGTGTTGCTGGGAGCAGGCTCAGGCTCTGGCAGTGTGGAGCTCAAAGGGACAAATCCATCCCTGGTGCATCTCCACCAGTGCCAGCCAAGTTGCATGGGGAGAACTCTAGCCCCGGGCCTTTATTTCAGGTTTCGGCCTCCCAGACATGCTGCTTGGCTGGGCCCAGAAGCGTCCATTACCTACTGGCCACCGACTGGCCGCTGATGGCGGCATCTCGGAAAATTTCCTCCTTCTCAGCTGTACCAACCCCTCCTGCCCCCCAGCTCACCCAGCCTTGAGCACTGCGTGCTGCAGGGCCCTGTGCTGAGGCAGCCTGCGGCCCCCAGGACCAGCCCCAGATCCAGCCAGGTAGCCGCAGAGCAGCGTTCGCAGCCGCCAGCTCTCGCCACTGTGCTGCAAGTCTGCCATAGCTGGTGTTTTCCTTACGGCCCCAGCTCCTTGAGTCCTGGAGCTAGGAGAACCCAAGCTGCGCAGCATCATGGTTGCAAAGAAAAGCTTGAGTCTGTGAGCTGGGAGTATCCGAAGGGCTCAGAAACCAGAGGGCAGAGGGCGAGGCCCAGCGTTGACCATTTCAACCATCTCGTGAGGGTTAGGCCAGTCTTGTGACTTCTGAGCCCGGTCTCCTGGAACGTCTGGGGTTGGCCAGGCTGAGTCACTGGGGGAGAGCACCCAAAAGTGGAGGCTAGGAAGAGCCGTCTCTAGCCATGTCCGTCTGGCTGGGACCTGCCAAATCCTAGGAGATCTGTGGTGCTGACACTGCGGGGTAGCTGGGAGACTACAGGATGCGGCTAACACCTGGCCCTAATCAGCACTCTTTCAAAGGAGCCAGCTCTTGCCCCTGTGTGTGAGATCGGGGTGCTATGAGCCAGTAGCCTTCTGGGCCTCTGGAAGCCCCAATGCGTGGCCGGCTTAGACCTGGGCTGGGCAGTGCCTGGATGGAGTGATGCTGCCTTGGCGAGTGGGAGAGGATGGGGCAGGACCCACTAGGGCGTCTCCTCTCTGCATGGGAGCCAGGCATTGACCATCCTCTGGGCAGCCAGTTCAGTTTAGCCACCGCCCCAGCTGGCAGAACTTCCCTCGCACGCACACGGGCTGCTACCTGCCATCTTGTCCTGGGGGATGCCCTTACATGGTAATCAGCACGGATCCCACTGGCGGCTCCATGCGGCCCGACGTGCTGCCTCTTGAGTTTGCAGAGCTCATGCCAGTGACTGCCCTGCCCGGGGCTCTCAGCAGGAGCTGGGGCTGCTCTCCTCCTGGGAACGGGCGCCTGGTGCTGCAGAACTGCGCTCTGCCATCACCACTTCTGTGTGAGCCTTTCCGATAAGCGCAGTCAGAGCAGGGGGACCCCGCCCTTCCCGATCACCCGCTGGGAGCAGGCCGCACGCTCCCGAGCGCTGGGTGTCTCTGGCTAGCTGTGCGATCACACAGAGCACTGCCCCAGTCACAGGGCAAAGAGAGGGGACTCAGAAGAAATACAGCCAAGCCCTCTGAGCCCAGGTTACATTCAGAAAAGAGGAAGCTGGGAGGGGCAGAAGTGAAAAGAAGGGGCCAAAACCCAGGGAAGGGCTAGCAGTGGTGTAGAGAGGTTCCCACTCTACCTGTGGTACTTAGGTGGCCCCATCACTGTAGTATCTGAGCGCCTCACAACACAGCCGCTCGGTGAGGTACAGCAGTGCTGTTATCCCCATTGTACAGGTGGGGCACTGAGGCACAGAGAGACTCGCAGCCAGTTTTTCAATGGTATTTAGGCACCTAGAAGACTAGGTGCTTTGTAAACCCCACTAGAT